GGGGCATGGTGGCTCACGCCTGTAATCCCAGTGCTTTGAGAGGCTGAGGCAGAAAGATGGAGGAGTTCAAGGGCAGCTTGGACAACACAACGATATCCTGCCTCTACCAAGAAAAAGAAAAGAAAAAAGAAAGTAAAGGCACTGGGATTTGTTTATATAGACACTAGCTACAATATGGACACTAGTTACAATAGAAAAAGAAGAAATATTAGATTTTAGATCACTGTAAAGCATAATGAGATAATGTTTGAATTTGCTACGGTTTTATTTATTTGACACGGAGTATCGCTCTGTCACCCAGGATGGAGTGCAGTGGCGTGATTTCGGCTCACTGCAAGCTCCGCCTCCCAGGTTGACGCCATTCTCCCGCCACAGTCTCCCTAGCAGCTGGGACAACAGGCGCACGCCACCATGCCTGGCTAGTTTTTTTGTATTTTTAGTAGAGACAGGGTTTCACTCTTAGCCAGGATGGTCTTGATCTCCTGACTTCGTGATCCACCCGCCTGGGCCTCCCAAAGTGTTGGGATTACAGGCGTGAGCCACCGCGCCCGTTTATTTATTTTTTGAGACGGAGTTTCACTCTCGTTGCCCAGGCTGGAGTGCAGTGATGCGATCTCGGCTCACTGTAATCTTTTGCCTCCCAGGTTCAAGCTTCTCCTGCCTCAGCCTCCTGAGTAGCTGGGATTATAGGCGCCCACCACCATGCCCAGCTAATTTTTTGTATTTTTAGTAAAGACCGGGTTTCATCATGTTGACCAGGCTGGTCTCGAACTCCTGACGTCAGGTGATCCACCCACCTCAGCTTCCCAAAGTGCAGGGATTACAGGCGTCAGACCCAGGCTTGCTTCAGTTTAAAAACCAGTTAAAATGTTCTATGTTCAGCTGATGTCTTAACGAGTTTGTTTTTCAATTAGAGATGAATGGAAAGATGAGTTAAAACTGTATATTGGAGAGGGCTGGGTGTGGTGGTCATGTCTACAATCTAAGCGCTTTGGGAGGCCAAATTGGGAGGATCATTTGAGCCCAGGAGTTTGAGACCAGCCTTGGCAACATAGCCAGACCTCATCTCTACCCCTTGCAAAAAAAAAAAAAAAAAAAAAATAGCCATGTGTCATGGTGTATGCCTATAGTCCCAGCTACTCCAAGCTGAAGATCCCATGAGCCTATGAGTTCAAGGTTATAGTGAGCTATGACCATGCCACTGCACTCTAGCCTGAGTGACTGAGTGAGACCGTTGCTAAAATAAATAAAACAGTGCAGAATATTTTAATTACTAATTTTTAATAATCTCTACATTAATAAATATAACATTACACATTTTTTTGAGACAGGGTCTCACTTTGTTACCCAGGCTGGAGTGCAGTGGCATGATCATAGTTCACTGCAGCCACAACCTCCTGGGCTCAAGCAATCTTCCTACCTCAGTCTCCCAAGTAGCTGGGACTATAGGCACTTTGCCAGCATGCCTGGCTAATTTCTTATTTTTCTGTTTGTAGAGATGGGGTCTCACTATATTGCCCAGGCTGAACTCAAACTCCTAGGGTCAAGTGATCCTCCCACCTCAGTCTCCCAAAGTGCTGGGATTACAGTTGTGAGCCACTATGTCCAGCTAAATGTAACATTATTAAATGTAAATACTACAGCATCAGTTCTACCAGAATGCTGCTTTAAGTAAAGCAAAATTCAAAACTCTAAAATTTTTATTTTTTCTTGAACAAATTTTGATGTATCTTTGTTCTTATATAAATTTCTGACATATGGCCGGGCGCGGTGGCTCACGCCTGTAATCCCAGCACTTTGGGAGTCCGAGGCAGGTGGATCACAGGGACCATCCTGGCTAACACAGTGAAACCCCGTCTCTACTAAAAATACAAAAAAATTAGCCAGGCGTGGTAGCGGGCACCTGTAGTCCCAGCTACTCGGGAGGCTGAGGCAGGAGAATGGCGTGAACCCAGGAGACGGAGCTTGTAGTGAGCCTAGATCGCGCCACTGTACTCCAGCCTGGGTGACAGAGCAAAGACTCCGTCTCAAAAAAAAAAAAAAAAAAAAAAAAAAAAAATTTCTGATATACTACATGTGAAAAATGATCCACTCTCAATGGGTATTATACATTTTATTTAAAGACTTCAAAGTAAAAAAAAAAAAAAAAAAAAAGGTACAGAAATACAGATTACATTATGATGACCAGAGTAGTATTCTACATGACAAAAATAAAAACAGATTTAAGTAAATGTACCGGCACTGAACAAGCATTTACTTAACATCCAATCCAGGCTGCATATGCACAAAATGATCTGACCAAATGCTTATGCAAAATAAAGTTTTTCTTAGAACGCCAAAATTCCAACCATTCTGACTGTCCGCTGCCTATTCCCCTGTTGAGTATTTTCAGCGAACTTTTATAGAATATAAAAACAATTGGCATGGCACTTAAAAGACTGCAAAAAACAACACAATTAAAAACATTACAATGCATTTCTGTATAAAATATACACCGTAAATATTATTAGTTAAAAAAAGATTTAAAAACAAAAGACCACCCTGAATAATCGTTAAAACCTCATCATAGAAAAATGCTCATAATTTTGTACATTATTGATAGAAACTACTGAGAGGTTTCTTTAGGGGGTTGGGGGGAAGGTAGATACCTAACTTAAAGATTCATTCAAAATTTGCTTTCAATTGTGGATAATAACTCACGGCTTACCCCTTCTCAAAATGTTTTATCATGAATACTCTAGTATTTAACCACAGGACAAACATAAAGAATAACCTGAAGAAGGTGTCGAAGGCCCCAAAAGAAGTCTAAGGTGGCCCACTAGTGTGCATTTTAAACAAACTTCCTAGGTGATTATTTCACATTCCAAAATCTGAGAACTAATGCCCTATGGGAAACAGCACCACTGAAAAGCAAGGTCATAAACATATTTCTGACATCAGATACAGAATTCTAAGTTTATGATTTGAAGTGAATACTGCTTTTTGTTTTAAAAGAAGTTTCAGGTGTTAAGAGAAACATATTAAATAAACATGCGGATGTATATAAACATTTTCCTTTGAGGTTTTCATTGCTTTCAGACTTACATTATTTGAAGGAAAGAGAGTACATAGCTAGAAACTTTGGAAAAATGACATTTCCAGTGAAATGCAGCATCCACTCCTCCAAAAAAAGATAATTTATTATATGCCTACAAATTTTAAAACATTTGAAATTTAAACTAGATAATTTCCTAAAGTTAAGTCTTACTAAGATTAAAAAATTTTAAGTAATTTAGATAATCATGGTTACTTTTTAAGTCCCTTTTCATTAAAAAAATATTTAAAATAAACAGAAGGATGCTATATTTGGCACCCCTTTAAATAATAAACTGCTAAACACTAATATTAATAAAAAATAATCCAAGGAACTCTGCCTCTGAAATGTATTCTACTATGTGTTACATGTGTTATCAGTTAATAAAAACTCACTGAAAGAGCTGATACTGTGATGTGTGTGAGTGTATATGTGTGTCCTGAACATTCATGCCTACTTTATTTTTCTGATTTCACTAAAGACTCTATAAATAGGGTCCAATCATAAATGTGGTTTAGGGGAAGAAATGAGGATAATTAAGATATCCTACTTAAAAAAATAAATAATTTTCCTGTATACTAAATTATAAGGAAAAAATATTATACATTCTGCCTCCACTGAATACATGGAATGCTTTTACAAGTTTGGTAACAATATTGAGTGCCTCATTTGAATCAAGTCACAAAAAGCAACTGTGGGGATTCACTCTCCAATAGGAAATAAAAATATTACCACTGTACTTTTCTGTATCTATTTTAAATTTCTGTTTTTTTTCCTTTCTTTATACTGAGTAATTTTCCATTCAACTGCATCCTTGGTCCTTTGCATCATATAGATTAACATTCCAGTTAAAGTTTCCCATAAACGGATAGGCTTAGAAGGGAGCTACCCCGTTAATATACTTAAAAAGAAAAATCACTTGTGCCAGTTTTGCAAAAATAGTTAATGATTTGGAATCTGATTTATAATAAAAAGTGTCTGCGTTTTAACTCAAGAAGAATTTCCCAATTTGGTTTTTGTTTTGTTTGGTTTGGTTTGAGACCGAGTCTCACTCACTGTTGTACAGGCTGGAGTAATCTTGGCTCACTGCAAACTCCATCTCCTGGGTTCAAGCGATTCTACTGCTTCAGCCTCCCAAGTACCTGGGATTACAGGTGCCCGCCACCATGTCCAGCTAATTTTTGTATTTTTAGTAGAAACGGGATTTCACCATGTTGGCCAGGCCAATCTCGAACTCCTGACCTCAAGTGATCTGCCCGCCTTAGCCTCCCAAAGTGCTGGGATTGCAGGCGTCAGTCACTGCACTCAGCTGAATTTCCCAATTCTAAGCAAGCAGCATCTCTATTAGCAATTTAATAACTGCTGCCTTAAAGAATCAATAATTTATTTATCCAAGGCAGTAAAATTTACACCTGAATTTTTAAACATAAAGAACTCCAAAACTAATAGGTAATATAAAAAGTTGTTGCATTTTATATTAATCTTTTATTTCAAAGTTAAACCCTGAAATGATTTAACACATAATGACAAAAATTATGGGACGTTTATGATGTAATCCCACTATGTGCCTTAACGCAACAGACACTTTTTTTTTTTTTTTTTTTTGAGACGTTGTCTCGCTCTGTCGCCCAGGCTGGAGTGCAGTGGCCGGATCTCAGCTCACTGCAAGCTCCGCCTCCCGGGTTTACGCCATTCTCCTGCCTCAGCCTCCCGAGTAGCTGGGACTACAGGCGCCCGCCACCTCGCCCGGCTAGTTTTTTGTATTTTTAGTAGAGACGGGGTTTCACCATGTTAGCCAGGATGGTCTCGATCTCCTGACCTTGTGATCCGCCCGTCTCGGCCTCCCAAAGTGCTGGGATTACAGGCTTGAGCCACCGCGCCCGGCCAACAGACACTTTTTTAATGCAGTGGTTTTCTTTTTTTTTTAAACAAAAAAGATAACTTCATTACTCATCTGTAGGCCTTTTAAAAACTGAAAAACCAGTTCAACTAAATTTTGACATGATTGTCTGGAAGCTAGTATTAATTTCTTTTTCATAGTAAAATAGATGTAACAATTGATTAATATATGTCTATGAGAGAAGATATTGGGTGTTTTCTTGTAGGTGGCAAATATAAAATGGTTAATTGTATCCAGGCTGGCAGCAAGTTTATCCATGCATTAAATGGCAACATGAGAAGAATACATGGTTGAAAAATGAGGATCAGACACATTCTTCTGCAGACATCAAAAGAGGATTGATATACTCAAAACCTTCAAATTCAGACTGATCAATCTTCCTCACAATGTCACTGTTGAAAGAAAAATAAATTTATTTTCATCATAATAAAGATTTCTTCAACCTTTAAATGGTAAAATAAGATTAAAAAACAAATAATTAGGCTAACTGTACTGAAAGAAAATCTATAAATTTTTAGATTAATCCCCAAAATTTTCTAGACAAATCAAGAATGGAATACTGAAAATTTAAAAAGCCTCGATAATCCCACAAGCAAGTTTTGAGCCAAAAAGGAGTTCGAAACTGAGGACCGAATAAAGAAGGCACCAGTTGTCACCATTCCAGTTAATCTTAACTTTGGACCAGAACAATATTCTTAGTTACAGGTGAACATCCAGGTTTGAATTAGCATTCAATTTAGTAGTCACCTCAACAGCCAGATGTTAGATGGTGTAGCCAAGAAGTAGTTAGCCAAAAGGAAAAGGCAATAGGAACAAGTACACTGAGAGACCTGGAATGAGGAGAGAACACCACAGGGAGACCTTGGGTCACAGAGAGGGGAGAAGTTGTCATTTTGTTACACTGGCTTCTACTTTAATACACAGTGAGTAGTGCTATCAAATATTTAATACATAAATGTATATGCCATACTAAGAAGCACAAAGTTACAGAGGATACAGTCCCTTCCTTCAAGGAGGGGAAGTAACTCATACTGGAAGAGAAAGCAGTACTTGTTAAATTTTACACACAATAAGCTAAGTCCTGTTCTAACCACGGTTCTAAAGAAAGGCGCGACTTCTAGTTGGAGAAATCAAGGAAGGCAGTATTCATTTTGCAAACACTTAATAAATGGAATGATGAAAGACTGTGGTAGGTCTGGGGAAATGCAAGTAATTTATTAGGGTGGAACACAGGAATAGAAGTGTGTTAGATGGCAGATGATGCTGGAAGAAAAATAATGGCTAATAATCAAAGAAGCCAGTGATGTTTCTAAGGAGTTTCACCTTGATCCATCAAAGATCTGGTTGCATCTGAGGTGGCTCTGAAAGATAGGAAGATTTCAACAGGTAAAAATGAAGGGGGAATATACAGGAATGAGCAGGCAGAGGCAGAGATAATAATACTATTAGTGAATGGTGACTAGCAAAGACTGATGAGAACACTGTTTGTATTATGGTGAGAGGTATCACTAGAAAGTCAGGCTGGAGCAGATGTGGGGAGGCCTTAAATGCTAGCCAAGATGATAGATGTTACCTAATAGGCAATGAAGGAGTTACTGAAGGTTTCTGATTAAAGGGGTTCAAGAATTGGAGTGGTACTTCACCAGGCATACAGAATAGGTTGCAAAGTGAAGGAGTAAAGATCAATTAGGAGGCTGACACAATACTCTGGGTATGACCTGAATGAGGCCTGAACTAGGATGTGTCAATGGGAAGAGAAAAGAAGGACCTGATGTAAATGATGAAATAATGAAAACATAGACAAAGACTTGGCAGCTGCAGGTATTATGTAATCTGTTAAGAAAAAGGAGTAGTCCACAATCACTGACATCTGGAATCTGAACGACAGGAACACACTGTGGTACAGTGAGCAGAACTAGGTAACTTAAAAAAAGGAACTGATTGAGAACAATAGAAAGAGACCATAAAGGGTCATTACTTTGATTTTAGACTTCATATATTTGAGCTGCTTGATGACAAACTGGGGGACATGTTAAACAGAAATGCAGCTGAGGAGATCTAACGGCAGGGGATAAGTGCTTCAGAAACCATCATGCATTTATTCTTCACAGCAACCTTATGAGGTAGGCAATTCGAGAACAGGCTCAGAGAAGTTATGCAATTCTTATACAAGGTTACCCAGTTGGTAAGAGGTGGCATTGGGATTCAAACTCCTATCTTTTGATTAAATTCAGTGTTCCTTTTAACACACAATGCTCTCAGAAATAATGATTTGGTACACATCTTTCTCCTCTAGTAGACAGGATGCTTTTGGGGAGATTAGACTGTCTTATCTTTGAATGTCTAGTATTTAGCATAACGCCTTTTGCTCAATAACCATTTGCCATTTAACTGAGAGTCATTTAATTAGCTGGTATCTATGCTACAGGGCTGGTTGAAATCTCCAAGGTACAAACTGCATACAGCAAAAAGAAGATTGTCATGAACAGAACCATGAAGCATCCTGGTCTCAAGGGGACAGGGAAAACACATGAGAGAAAAGTAGTCACAGAGATGAAACAGAACCAGAATAGGCAGTGTCACCCAAGGCAAAGCCATGAGTACCAAATGCTTTACATTCATCAAGGGAGGTGAGGACTCACCCCAAAATGCTTTACAATTTAGAAATTAAGAAATTGATTCAACTTTCAAAAGCTGGAGGACAGGCTCAGTTGTAAGGGGTTGAAGTGTTGACAGAAAAAAAAAAATTCAAGACAATCAACGTTGACTAGTCTGAAGAAGTTAGATTAGAGGTGCTGCATATTTATTTTTCTTTGACCATGAACATCTATTGACTTTTTTTTTTTTTTTTTTGAGGCTTCAAGACGAAATGAAAATGAGGAAAAATGTGGTTGTTCAAAGAGGGACTATGAGTTAGGGGGAAAAATCAGAGAATCTGAGCATGCTTACACAGAGGGAAGCAAGCTAGAAAAAAATAAATCTAAGAAGGTCCAATAACAAGATAACTGACAAAATGAAATATTGGAGTAAACTACAGAAACAGGTCTAGGAAAATAGGAGGGACGCTCCTTGTAAAGGAGAGCCTTCCAAGAGTAGGAAATAAGAAAATGTTGAAAAGAATTAGAAAGCAATTCTGAGATGCAAGGTGGTCTGGTGACAGCTGGAAAGGAGGCAAGGTCACGCCAGAGAGGTTATCAGTCCTTGCATCAAATTAAGACAAGGTTAATCCTTTAACAGTGATGGAAAAAGGAGTAGAACTGAAGGCTTCTGAAATGAAGAGACTGTTTGGAGCAGGTGCTGGGAGAAATGTGGTAAGAAATAAGATAGAAGTAAAATGACTGCCAAACAATAAGGGCCTCCTTGAGATTAGAGAGAATGAATCTGTAACAACAGGTAAATAATCAAAATATCCCCCAATTATTTTAAGGTATATTTTTAAAAGATGCAGTATAAGTACAAAAAAATATATCAGCTCACTGCTGGCTGGATTTAATAACTCAATGTAATTCCTTAAAAAAAGCAATTTGGCAATACATATCAAGAGCTTTAAAATGTTAATACCCTCTGACCTAATTCCCTTTCTAGGAATCTATCTTAAGGCAATACTCAGGAACTTAGACAGACAAAGACAGTCCTTGTCAAATGGGAAACAGTGCAGCAGGCAGGACAGAGAGATTTGGGTTTGAATCCTGACTCTACCACCTGATAGCTGTGTAACTTTGCTTAACCTCTCTGAGCCTCAGTTTCCTCATCTGTAAAATGAAGATGACAATTTAGCTAGCTTACAAAGTTGTTGTGAAAATGAGATAATGCACGATAAAGCAAAGGAGAAAATGACAGTTACTATTAAAACTTATAATAGTACAGTGGATTCAAATACCAGTAACTGAATGGTTATATAAATTATAGTATAGGCCGGGCGCAGTGGCTCACGCCTGTAATCCCAGCACTTTAAGAGGCCAAGGTAGGTGGATCACCTGAGGTCAGGAGTTCAGGATCAGCCTGGCCAACATGGCAAACGCCGTCCTTACTAAAAATATAAAAATTAGCTGGGTGTCGTGGCATGAGCCTGTAGTCCCAGCTACTCAGGGTGGCTGAGGCAGGAGAATCGCTTGAACCTGGGAGGCAGAGGTTGCAGTGAGCCAAGATTGTACCACTGCACTCCAGCCTGGGAGACAGAGCGAGACTCTGTCTCAAAAATAAAATAAAATGAAATAAAATAAAAAATAAAAAAATTAATAGTATAATCTGATCATGAAACATTGCATAGTCACTAAAAATAGGATTTCCAAAAAACTTAAAAAAAAATTTCAGTGTACAGAATTACTTACTCGTCATCTGGAGTGAGCTGGACAGGTTCATTGGTAAACTGAGAATCAAAGTTGTCCAAACCAAATTCCCCAGAAATATTTGGTTTAAAGGGAGGTACCACCTGTTTTTGCTCCATCTGTAAAGACATATTGGATGACAGCTCAAGTCTGTATTATTAGAAAAATTGCACCTCTACAGTTCTCCTCTGCACTCATTGTTTCCCTTATTAAAGTGAGTCCTGAAGCACGGTACAATGATATTAGCAATGATGAACATAATTTACAAACATGAGCTGGGCATGGTGGCTCATGCCTATAATCCCAACTGCTTGGTAGGTTGAGATGGGAGGACCACTTGAGGCCAGGAGTTCAAGACCAGCCTGGACAATATAGCAAGACCCCATCTCTATTAAAAAATTAAAAATTGGCTGGGCACAGCAGTTCATGCCTGTAATCCCATCACTTTGGGAGGCCAAGGTGCGTAAATCACCTGAGGTCAGGGATTCAAGACCAGTCTGGCCAACATAGCAAAACCCTGTCTCTACTAAAAATACAGAAATTAGCCAGGCGTGGTGGCGTGCACCTATAATCCCAGCTACTCTGGAGGCTGAGACAGGAGAATTGCTTGAACCCAGGTGGCGAAGGTTGCAGTGAGCCGAGATTGTGCCACTACACTCCAGCCTGGGAGACAGAGCAAGACTCCACCTCAAAAAAAACAAACCAAAAAAAAAAAAATTGAAAATTAGCTGGGTACCATGGCTTATGCCTACAGTCCCAGCTACTTGAGAGGCTAACACAGGAGGATCTCTTGAGCCTAGGAGTTCAATCAAGGCTGTCGTGAGCTACAGTACAGCCTGGGCGATGGAGTGAGACTGTTTCTCTTAAAAAAACAAACAAACAAACAAAAACAAGTATAAACATTGATATGGGCTTCAATAACATTATAACCTGCTTTATTACATTAATATTCAATTTTTTGGCTGGGCACGGTGGCTCACCCCTGGAATCCCAACACTTTGGGAGGCTGAGGCAGGTGGATCACTTGAGGTCTGGAGTTCAAGACCAGCCTGGCCAACATGATGAACCATTATCTCCACTAAAAATATAAAAATTAGCTGGGCATGGTGGCATGTGCCTGTAATCCCAGCTACTTAGGAGGCTGAGGCAGAACTGCGTGAACCCAGGAGGCGGAGGTTGCAGTGAGCAGAGATCACACCATCGCGCTCCAACCTGGGCAACAGAATGTGACTCCATCTCAGAAAAAACAATACATTTTTAAAAAAAGGATTTTTTTTGTTTTAAAAGTTTTCTAAAAAGCAGTTTAGAAAGTGGTTTTAAGTTTTTAAAGCTGTGATATGTTAGCTAAGGCAATAAAATTTGGCCCAAGATAGGCCAGGTGCGGTGGCTCACACCTGTAATCCCAGCACTTTGGGAGGCCAAGGTGGGTGGATCACCTGATGTCAGGAGTTCGAGACCAGCCTGGCCGACATCGTGAAACCCCCCCATCTCTACTAAAAATACAAAAATTAGCCGGGTGTGGTGGTGCGTGCCTGTAATTCCAGCTACTTGGGAGGCGGAGACAGGATAACTGCTTGAACCCGGGAGATAGAGGTTGCAGTGAGCCGAGATCGTGCCACTGCATGCCAGCCTGGGCGACAGAGCAAGACTCTGTCCTAAAAAAAAAAAAAAAAAGATTTGGCCGAAAAAAAAAAAAAAAAAGATTTGGCCAAAAAAAAAAAAAAAAGATTTGGCCGAAGATAATAATGAAACCTAATAGAGAAAGTAATCAAAATTTACATACCATATCCCAATCAACATTTCGGAAGAACGGGTGTCCCTGAATATCAGCAAATCCTGTTTGAGGATGACAACCCAATCGTTCCTTAGGGTCCTATGGTGAAAGAAATGTTTCAAGAATTGGGTGAATGTCATGCTTTAAAATAAATCATCTTTGTGATCTGTGTTTTGTGCCCTCACATGATAGTCTTATTTCTGAAGTTGGAATGGTCTACCTTTTATTTCTAGAAAGTACAACTCCAGAACAAATTGAATTATTTGAAGCTTGTGATAGGTAAGATTTCTTTGTGGCACTTTCTCCACCTATCATGTAATTAAAACAGAGAATCATCACCAATTCCTTGCTAAAGAAAAATAGGAGGAAAAAGAGAACAGCAGAATCATTTGAGGAGCACCCAGCCATTTCTTTGGTATGACCTAGTGTGACAGTCAAAACATGCAAACCTCCAAACTTCATCAGAAATTTGTTTTTAGCTTAATTTAAAAGCCCCATGCCCAATTACAGCAACAAATCATCGCCTGTGTAAGACATTAATCCAACTTACAAATTTAATTCAAGCCTGCAACTTATAAAAAGTCTTGACTTATTCATTACTATGAATGAGAATATGTTCCCATTTTTCTTTCTGATAAAAGGTATTTTATTTCACATATCAACACCTCTTGTCTTCATTTTTCATCACTATGTGAAAAATTAGCTTTCAATTTTAAATCTTTCCTCACATAAATTGCTCATTTTAAAAAAGGCTTCAATTTCTTATTTTATTAAAATTCATTATCTATTTACCTTAGAAGGTAAATGTACATCAAACTTTCTATCATACCATTTATTTAAGGTAGAATTTATGATTGCCAAGACCACACTTAGATTCTAAAACTCCTCTAGCCTACCAACAGCAACAAACAATTGAATGATGTTCACATTTTTAAGAGCCGAAGATAGCATTTCATTTCTTCTGAATTTTACCTAATTATAGCATTTTCGACATGAGAATTTGTAGGGAGCACTGTGGCCCATGTGCTCAAAAAGTACATGGTAATAAATAGATTCTATGGATAATGACACAGAAAAAATGGAAACAGAGTTCAAAGTACAATTATGGCTAAACCCAAAGATTAAATCTTTCCCTATGTGAGAATATGGTATGTATTATTTACACACAAAAAAAATATGTAATATATAGCTGGGGAGTAAATTTTATTGCCAAAATGGAAAGGACAACTAACTTATCTCAGGATCTAATGCTGTCAATTACTCTTTGGGTAAGAGAAAATTCTGGGTCAAACTGAAAAAGTTACATTCTCTACTGTCTTGGAATTTTACATTTCCCAAACTGCTACTGATCAGTTTGATATATAAAGAGACAAATCACAAAATATTTTTATACACAGTTTATACCTTGTTAAGAAAACTCTTCAGAACACTTGCAGCTTTTACAGACAGAGAACGTGGTATGCGAATTTGTTTTTCCAAAATAACTAGAAAGATAGAAATTATAGTATTATATTTAACTTTTACATGGCTTTAATCTTTTCTCTTCTTTTTTTGAAAGGGTCTTGCTCTGTTGCCCAGGTTGGAGTGCAGTAGTGCAATCACAGCTCACTGCAGCCTTGACCCCCTCGGCTTAAGCAATCCTTCCACCTCAGCCTCCCAAGTAGCTGGGACCACAGGTGCCACCATCACGCTTGGCTAATTTTTTTTTTTTTAAGATGGAGTCTTGTTCTGTCATCCAGGCTGGGTACAGTGGCACGATCTCAGCTCACTGCAACCTCTGCCTCCCGGGTTCAAGCGCTTCTACCACTTCAGCCTCCTGAGTAGCTGGGATTACAGGCATGTGCCACCATGCCCACTGAGTTTTGTGTTTTTGGTAGAGATGGGGTTTCACCATGCTGGCCAGGCTGGTCTTGAACTCCTGACCTCATGAAGGTAAGTGATCTGCCCACCTCAGCCTCCCAAAGTGCTGGGATTACAGGCATGAGTCATTGCAGCCAGCAATGGCTGGGTAATTTTAATTTTTTTTTTGTAGAGATAAGGGTCTCATCATGTTGCTCAGGCTGGTCTTGAACTCCTGCACTCAAGCAATCCTCCTGCCTTGGACCCCCAAAGTGCTGGGATTACAGGTGTGAGCCACTGCACCTGGCAATCTTTAAATTTCTTTTTTCTTTTTTTTTTGAGACAGAGTGTCACTGTCTTGCCCAGGCTGGTGTACAGTGGCACAATCTTAGCTCACTGCAACCTCCGCCTCCCAGGCTCAAGTGATTCTCCTGCCTGAGCCTCCTGAGTAGTTACGATTAAAGGAACCCATCATGATACTCAGTTAATTTTTCTTTTATTTTTAGTAGAGACGGGATTTTGCCATGTCGGCCAGGCTGGTCTCAAACTCCCAACCTCAAGTGATCCACCCAACTTGGCCTCCCAAAGTGTTGGGATTACAGGCGTGAGCCACTGTGCCTGGGTGCAATCTTTCAATTTTTATTATAAGATATTTAAGGCATTCCAGGAGAAAAAATAAGATATTACATATGTAACTGAAGTGCCTCCTGTACTTTCCTAATCCCCTTCTTTTCCATTCTTCTCAGAGAAAGCCTCTAATCTGAATACTATTTATCATTTACATGAATGTCTTATTCTTTGACTACCTGATTGTACCTCAATTTCCTGGTCTGTAAAATAGGAATAAAAAAATACTTCATAGGATTGTTATGAGGTTTAAGTAACATTTGTAAAATGCTTGGCATATACAATATGCAATTTTATTGGACATTGCCAAATTATTCTTTAAAGCTGTTTCATCAGTTTTCATTCCTACCAGCAGTCTAGAGGAGTTCCAGTTGCTCCACATCCTCACCAGCACTGGTATTATCCAACTTTAATATTTTAATCAAATGTACTGATATGAAATGGTAACTCATTAACATTTAATGTGCATTCCCTTAATTGCTAGTGAGAATGAATGTCTTTTCACATATTCCATGGCCATTTGGGCTTTCTGTTATATGACATGCCTATTTATATCCCGTGATGGCTTTAATTACTAAATGTAGAATTTTATAGCAGTTTTCATACTTCTTTGGATTCCGTACTAGAGGTCCCTGTACTTGTCTGCTTGTTTCTGTCAATTCTTTATATTCCCTGATGTGGGGCCTTTTTCCCCATCTTTTGATCACTCATCACCTTGGTGCTCTATTTTCCCCTCATACTGTTCTTGAACTTGTGCACCCAGCCTCAGGGTCCCTGTGTAAAGATTATCCTCTCTAGCCACAGGATTCCTTTCTCTAATCTGTCTGTGATGGATAATTCTAAATAACCCCTGTTATGATTTTGAGTATGAGAAGGTAACTGTGAACAAGAGTGAAGACTATAGAGAAAAAATAATGTATTAAAAAACATCAAGGGCCGGGCGCGGTGGCTCAAGCCTGTAATCCCAGCACTTTGGGAGGCCGAGACGGGCGAATCACAAGGTCAGGAGATCGAGACCATCCTGGCTAACACAGTGAAACCCCGTCTCTACTAAAAAATGCAAAAAAAAAAAACTAGCCGGGCGAGGTGGTGGGCGCCTGTAGTCCCAGCTACTCGGGAGGCTGAGGCAGGAGAATGGCGTAAACCCCGGAGGCGGAGCTTGCAGTGAGCTGAGATCCGGCCACTGCACTCCAGCCTGGGTGACAGAGCCAGACTCCGTCTCAAAACAAACAAACAAACAAACAAACAAAAAAAACAAAAACAAAAAAAAACACATCAAAACCTAATACACAGAGGCCAGGCGCAGTGGCTCATGCCTGTAATCTCAGCACTTTGGGGAGGCTGAGGTGGGCAGATCACTTGAAGTCAGGAGTTCAAGACCAGCCTGGCCACTATGGTGAGACCCTGTCTCTACTAAAAATACAAAAATTAGCCGAGCGTAGTGGTGTGTGCCTGTAATCCCAGCTACTCGGGAGGCTGAGGCAGAATTGCTTGAATCAGGGAGATGGATGTTGCAGTGAGCTGAGACTGCACCACTGCACTCCATCCTGGGCCAAAGAGTGAGACCTTGTCTCAAAAACAAACAAAAACAACAACAAAACCTAATACAATGAGTCAGAAGTATATTTTCCAGATTATGCTCATTTTTCTTACTCAAAGTAGTAACCTGAGTCACTCTCATTTGTACTCTAGAATAGGTTTTTCTCAGAGAACCTCTGTAAAATACTCCAAATTACCTTGGAAGAGATAATCCTCTGTGTTCTGGTCAGGGTTATCGGAGCTCCCAACAATATCAAATGGAGACCTTCCCGCCATCATCTCAAACATCAGCACTCCAAGAGCCCACCAGTCAACACTGAAACCTTCAGAAAGAAATTTTAAAGCAATAAATTATACACTTTGCATTCTTGAAAGTTAGTAACTGGAGATTTTATCACATAAAGGAAAAAGAAACAATGAAAAAGTAAACTAAATGCATTCCAGCTATCATGGTAGGCATTGAAGAGTATAAAAATGCTTCACTTACAAGGGTAGGCACCTAAAAATAATTTTAAAAATAAAATTATGAGGAAAAAACCTTTCTTTTTCCATGTATGTCTACTTTCAGACTCATGCCCAATATCTAATATTGTGTGTTGAGGATATAATTAAATTGTATTTCAGAGTTATCTCCTTGGTCTTAAATTTGATCTTTTGCTAGCTGATAAAGACCAGTGAAGGACAGTGGATGCAGACTCTGAGCAGCTTTCACAAGTACCACATTCTCCTTTATATCTGCTGAAGGCAGAGGGCCAAAACCCAAAAAGTCAAATGTTTTCTCGGGTGTATCTTCGGGTGCCTGAGATATAGTTAATCCTTCCACCATCTTTCAGATTCCTGGGGGAAATATCACAGGAAGTCTGAAAAATCTTCCAGGGGTTCATGACTCTGGAGTCACCTGGGTGCTGTTCTGAATCCTTGACCTTAGGCGAGTTATTTAATCTTTCTGTATGTCAGTTTCCTCATCTATAAAAGGAGCATTAACGGTACTTACCTCACAGTGTTAAGAGGATTAACTTAGTTAATATATGTAAACTGCTTAGAATAGTGCCTGCTACTGCTTAGTTTTGTCACTAATAAAACATTATTGAGCTTGGTAACCCCAAATACTGTCAAGGTCCCACTGTCTCTGATTTCAAAGTCTGGGGCTCTCCGTGTAGTTTTTAAAAGGATCAAGAATGCTTATATTAATAAGATGATATCAAAATGCATTAGTGTACTGTAATGCAATTGGCACCACATTTAACCACCCATCTAGCAATAGCTAAAATAATACCACCAATTTATTTATTACCATAATCTTCTCCTCTTAAAATTTCAGGAGCAATGTAATTAGGAGTACCACAGAAAGTGCTGGTTGTATCTCCTGGCCGTAATCCTTCCTTTTATTAAAAAGAACAGAAAGAAAGAATGAGATAAAAAATTCTGTTTTAAATTTCCCCTTTCTATTTCACCTATCATATAAGTTCAGCATCTGTAGTGATACATTAAACTCACTAGAACAATTGCCTTTATTATTATTATTATTCACAGGGTCTTGCTTTGTCGCCCAGGCTGGCATGCTGTGGCACGATCTCAGCTCACTGCAACCTCCACCTCCTGGGTTCAAGCAATTCTTGTGTCTCAGCCTCCTGAGTAGTTGGAATTACAGGCAGGCACCAACACACCCAGCTAATTTTTGTATTTTTAGTAGAGACAAGGTTTCACCATGTTGGCCAGGCTGGTCTCGATCTCCTGGCCTCAACTGATCCACCTGTTTCGGCCTCCCAAAGTGCTGGGATTACAGGCGTGAGCCATCATGCCTGGCAACTGCCTTTATTATTAAAATCACAGATCACAACTAAATAGCTTGAAGAAAACCTGTCCTCATTAGATGTTGCTAGAGTTGATTCAATTAAGGTAAGACTTGCATTTAAAATAATTTACATACAAGTTAAAATTTAATACCAAAATTTTAATATTAGTAGAATAAGGCATATTTCATGAAGAAAAGAAGCATTTTAAATCTCACCTCCTAATACAACCATTGATAAGACTACAATATTTTCCTTCTGTTTATTTTTCCTAAGAACACTTTTTTTTTTTTAAGACAGAGTTTCACTTTTGTTGCCCAGGCTGGAGTGCAATGGCACAATCTCAGCTCACTGCAACCTCCACCTCCCGGGTTCAAGCAATTCTCCTGCCTCAGCCTCCCAAGTAGCTGGGATTACAGGCGTGTGTCACCAGGCCCAGCTAATTTTGTATTTTTAGTAGAAAATGGGGTTTCTCCATATTGGTCAGGCTGGTCTTAAACTACTGACCTCAGATGATCCACCCACCTCGGCCTCCCAAAGTGTTGGGATTACAGGCATGAGCCACCACCCCTGCCCTGTTGATTTTTTTTTTTAATTTGCCTTGTGGCTAGAGAATGGTTTGAATATTAGTTCATTGGAATACATTGAGATTTCCTTTATGACCTAATATATGGCCAGTAGTCCATGTGTACTTAAAAGGATATATAATCTTTACATGCAGGGAGTCTCGCTCTCTCTAATGTCTCTCTTCCTTCTCCCTCACTCCACACACCCATATAGACATACATATTCTACATATATATATATATAAAGGCTCTAGCTTCTTTCCAAATCTTTCTCTGCCTACTGATTTTTAGTATGTGTGATGTATCATTTTCTTTTTTTTTTTTTTTTCTGGCTTAGTCGCCCAGGCTGGAGTGCAGTGGCGCGATCTCGGCTCACTGCAAGCTCCACCTCCCGGGTTCACGCCATTCTCCTGCCTCAGCCTCCCGAGTAGCTGGGACTACAGGCGCCCGCCGCCTCACCCAGCTAATTTTTTGCATTTTTAGTAGAGACGGGGTTTCACCGTGTTAGCCAGGATGGTCTCGATCTCCTGACCTCGTGATCCGCCCGCCTCGGCCTCCCAAAGTGCTGGGATTACAGGCGTGAGCCACCGCGCCCGGCCGATGTATCATTTTCTAATATAGATTATTCTCATATTAACTTTTCCTATCATGATTGGAGATAGTGAAATTCTCATACTAATTTTGTCCTTTTTTACTCTTTGTATTTTGAGACTGCATTGTTGAATGTATGCAAGTTTATATTTGTTACAACTTCTTGGTGATTGCCCCATTAATTATTGGGTAGTTCCTTTACTATGCCCGTTAGTGTGTTTCGCCTTAATTTTTTCCATCCTATAGCTATTAAAATACAGGCCGGGCATAGTGGCTTACACCTGTAATCCCAGCACTTTGGGAGTCCGAGGTGGGTGGATCATTTGAGGTCAGGAGTTTGAGACCAGCCTGACCAACATGACCTCAGGTGATCCGCCCACCTCAGCCTCCCAAAGTGCTGGGATTACAGGCGTGAGCAGTGCGCCTGGCCCTTCCTTCCATTCTTGTCCCTGACTCACCCAGTTCCAGCTCCCTAGAGGCAACCACTATTATGTGGCCCTCCAGAGATATTCTGGGCATGGTGAACATATTTTTCTTCAAATTTCACCCTATTATATATAACACTGCTATAAACATCTAGAATAAATATTTAGTAATATGTTGTGACTCCAAGAATTTTTTAAATGATTTCTAAAAGGGATATTATATGCTAATTTTAGCAATGTGAATATGGTTTTTATTGTTTTCTATTATTGGCAATGGCAGTTCATTCTCATGATAAATGACATGTACTTTCAGTGTACTAGTCAGAGGTAAGAGATGTAGTCTGTTAACTTGTAACAGTTATGCTTAATCATTCACTTGTTGAGTGAATGTTGGAATGTAGGTCCACTTGCTGAGTTTTCTACAGCATAACATAGATGTTATTAGAATTCCTCTGTTGATTAAAAAAACACTTAAAGGCACATCAGTTCATAAAACCACTAAAGGTTTCCACTCAAAAAATCAATGTTCATAAAACATTTCAAACATAACTCTAAAGATATTAATTCAAGTTTTCATCACTATCCTCTGCAATCTTTATAAAGAAATTCATCCAACACTTGCATGAAGTCAAGCTTCAGGTAAGTTAAATGTTGACTCTAAGTCATAAAAGAGCATTCAAACTTTTGGAGGGTGAATGTCTCATAAACTTTCTTTTTTTAATTTTATATATATATATAGAGAGAGAGAAATAGACGGAGTCTCACTCTGTCACCCAGGCTGGAGTGCAGTGCAGTGGTGTGATCTTAGCTCACTGCAACCTCCGCCCCACCCTGGGTTCAAGAGATGCTCCTGCCTCAGCCTCTCAAGTAGCTGGGATTACAGGCACACGTCACCACACCTGGCTAGTTTTTGTGGTTTTAGCAGAGATGGGTTTTCACCATGTTGGCCAGGCTGGTCTCAAATTCCTGACCTCAAGTAATCTGCCTGCCTTGGCCTCCCAAAGTGCTGGAATTACAGGCATGAGCCACTGCACCTGCCCTAGGCAGCTCTTGGGGAAGGGGGAAAGGCAGAAAGGGAGGTAGGAGGACATTTGATTTAAAGACCTACTCAATAAAGATCTCAAATTTATCAAAGACCTGGACTAACTTGATTGAGGATCCCTGTAAGAAATGAAAATGTATAAGAAGCCAGTATTATTTTCCAGTAAGGGTAACAAAAGACTAAGAAAGACAAAATGAGAAAAGTCTTTTTTTTTTTTGGAGATGGAGTCTCGCTCTGTCGCCCAGGCTGGAGTGCAGCGGCGCAATCTCAGCTCACTGCAACCGCTGCCTCCCAGGTACTTGCCATTCTGCTGCTTCAGCCTCTCGAGTAGCTGAGACTACAAGCACCCACCACCATGCCCGGTTAATTTTTTTGTATTTTTAGTAGAGACAGGGTTTCACTGTGTTGGCCAGGATGGTCTCGATCTCCTGACCTCATGATCCACCTGCCCTGGCCTCCCAAAGTGCTGGAATTACAGATGTGAGCCACCACTCCCGGCCAAGAGAAAAGTCTTAATTCATTTTTGTGATTATATTTTCTTTCTTTTTTTTGAGACGGAGTCTCACGTTGCCACCCAGACTGGAGTGCAGTGGTGCAATCTCCACTCACTGCAACCTCCGCCTCCCAGGTTCAAGCAATTCTCCTGCTTTAGTCTCCTGAGTAGTCTCCTGTGGTCCCAACAGGTGTGCCACCATGCCCAGCTAAGTTTTTGGTGTTTTTAGTAGAGATAAGATTTTACCATGTTGGCCAGGCTGGTCTCAAACTCCTGATCTCAAGTGATCTGCCTGCCCGGGCCTCCCAAAGTGCTGGGATTATAGGTATGAGCCACCACATCCTGCCCATTTTCATTGTTTAAACAATGCAGTAATTCCATTAAAGCTGTTATTTAAAAATAACATTTTAAAATGTTATTAAAATGCATTAGTGTACTGTAAGGCAATTGGTAACCACATTTAACATAACATTTTTAAATAACAACTTGAAAAATACTGAAATGTAAACAGAATCAACGTGTGATGCTACATAACAGAACGATACATAAAAGAATCAGACAGCTCTGTATGTTAAGACTTCACCTAATGTTATATTATAAACATTTTATAGGCATTATAAGCATTGTTATGTCTTTCTGTTTTAGACAGGATCTCACTGTCACCCAGGCTGGAATGCAGTGGTGTGAACACAGCTCACTACAGCCCCAGGCTCAAGTGATCCCCCATCTCAGCCTCCCAAGTAGCTGGGACTACAAGCACAACCAAGGAAGTGTAATTTTCCTATTTTTTGTAGAGATGGAGTTTTGCCATGTTGCCCAGGCTAGTGTCGAACTTCCGAGCTCCAGCGATCTGCCTGCCTCGGCCTCCCAAAGTGCTGGGATTACCGGTCTGAGCCATCATGTGTTACGTATTTTTTATAAACATCTTCAGCCAGGAGCTGTGGCTTGCTTTCTTTGTTAAGGTAACTGGAACAAAATTATCCTCACATAGTAATAAGACAAATAAGTGAATGTATGAACTGCATTCCCCATTTACCTGAGGAAAGTGCCTCCAGAGCCTGGAGATTATCTAAATGCTAACATTATGAACTCCTGGGTTTGAGACTAGCCTGGGCAACACAGCGAGATCTCGTCTCTATTTAAAAAAAAAAAAGTAAAAATAAAATAAAAATAAAGATCTTAAGTGACTTTATAATATCTGTCATAAACTACAATAAAAGTTTTAGTCAGAAATCTCTCTTCATAAACCAAAATATTTACTTGGAATATCCAAGAGGCAGAATTACTGGATCAAAGAACATGGCCATCTTTAGGATTCCTGACAATTCCCCATCAAACTGCTTTTCAAAAGGTTTGTAACAATTTTTTTTTTTTTTTTTGAGACGGAGTCTTGCTCTGTCGCCCATACTGGAGTGCTGTGTGGCACGATCTCGGCTCACTGCAAGCTCCGCCTCCTGGGTTCACGCCATTCTCCTGCCTCAGCCTCCCGAGTAGCTGGGACTACAGGTGTCCGCCAGTATGCCCAGCTAATTTTTTTTGTATTTTAGTAGAGATGGGGTTTCACCGTGTTAGCCAGGATGGTCTCGATCTCCTGACCTTGTGATCCGCCCATCTTGGCCTCCCAAAGTGCTGGGATTACAGGTGTAAGCCGCAAAGTTTTTTTTTTTTTTTGAGACAGAGTCTCGCTCTGTGGCCCAGGCTGGAGTGTGGTGGCGCGATCTCGACTCACTGCAAGCTCCGCCTCCCGGGTTCCCGCCATTCTCCTGCCTCAGCCTCCCGAGTAGCTGGGACTACAGGTGCCGCCACCATGCCCAGCTAATTTTTTGTATTTTCAGTAGAGACGGGGTTTCACCGTGTTAGCCAGGATGGTCTCGATCTCCTGACCTCGTGATCCACCTGCCTCGGCCTCCCAAACTGCCAGGATTACAGGCGTGAGCCACCGCGCCCGGCCCATTTCTTTAAACTCTTATACATACAGACTATTCTAACTTTAAAACCAATATCTCACAGGCCAAAAAAAAAAAAAAAAAAATCTCGTTTTAATTTGTGCACTTCGTATGAAGGTTAATACTCTCCATGTTTTTTGTTCAGTTTCATTTATTCTTGGGGATAAGACTCCTCTATCACTGTCACTTTTTTTTGAAATGAGAAAAAATCCCTCAGGGAAAAAAAATGACACAGAGATCAAAAGAGTATCACAAATATAAGTGATAAGTACACAGGGGTTCCACTCGCTAAGCTTTCTAATTGTTTATGATTGAAAACTTATATAATAAAAATATGTAAGGCCGGGCACGGTGGCTCAAGCCTGTAATCCCAGCACTTTGGGAGGCTGAGGCTGGTGGATCACCTGAGGTCAGAAGTTCGAGACCAGCCTGGCCAACACGGTGAAACCCCATCTCTACTAAAAATAGAAAAAAATTAGCCAGGTGTGGTGGCAGATGCCTGTAATCCCAGCTACTTGAGAGGCTGAGGTAGGAGAATTGCTTGAACCTGGGAGGTGGAAGTTGCAGAGAGCCGAGATCCTGTCATTGCACTCCAGCCTGGAGCCAGCAGCAAGAGCAAAACTCTGTCTTAAAAATTAAAAAATTAAAATTATCCAGGGATGATAGGGCGCACCTTAATCCCAGCTACTTGGAGGGCTGAGGCAGGAGAATGGCTTGAACCCAGGAGGCGGAGGTTGCAGTGAGCCAAGATGGTGCCACTGCACTCCAGCCTAGATGACAGAGCAAGACTGTCTCCAAAAAAAAAAAAGAAAAACAAAATTAATTAATTAATAAGTATCATGTGAAAAGTGCGGCTGAATTCTGTACATGAAATCAAACATAGTTTAAGTGAATATTTTATTCTTTAATGCATGCTGAAAAAATAATAAAGTTAAATCTTCGATACAACTAGGTTGTCATATGCCATGTTATTAGCATTTAGATAATCTCCAGACTCTGGAGGCACTTCTCACAGGTGAACAGGGAATGCAATTCACACATTTACATACTGGTTGTTGTTATTACTATGTGAGGATAATTTGGTATCAGTTACCTTAACAAGGAGTAGTTCCTTATGCATTTTGTGGGAAAATATCAGACCTTTAAAACGGAACACTGTTATAAAAAGAATAAAACATCAAGAAATAAAGAAGACATTCTGAGAGTAACTAAAATTCTTGTTTTATCCTATTATGCTTTATGTCAGATGCTTAAAATTTAAATATAAAAAAGTTTTACTTCTGAGGAAAATCCTGAATGCACTATATAAGATTCACTACTAAACGGCAAAAATTGGAAGGTCATATACAAATGGTTGTGTTAAGCAGTGGAATTGCAGACAATTTTTATTTCCAAATTTTCTTCAATTATATTTCAACTTTCAAAATAAAAAGTTAGGTATAATAAAAAGAAATTAACTCTTATTTTAGTACACATAACACAGAAGACACAAATTTTACAAATGTTGTCTTTGTGCTAGAATTCCACAAAGTTTCTTAAGTAAATTAGCAACATTAGTAATCATTTCCCCATCTTTAAACATGAAGTTATTTTACAAAGACTACTAGCTGCTGAAGACCTTTTAAAATAACTAGAAAATTTTCCTCACCTTACACATGCCGTAGTCAGTGAGTTTAATGTGGCCTTCAGAGTCCAGTAATACATTGTCCAGTTTCAAATCTCTATAAATTATCCCTCGCTCATGAAGATAATTTAATGCTAGACTGATTTCTGCAGAGTAAAATCTAAAATAAAATAAAAAATAAGTCATTTGATTCAACCATATTTAAGTTCTACATTTGTAACCGGAAACACAAAAATTCATATCAAAACATATTTTTTTCTCCCAGTGATTTTAGGAACAAATTTTAAAAAAGAACTTTAGAACCACTTTAAAACATCTGAGCCCAAGACACAATTGTAAAAGTTCCTTTCTAACTTAAACTCACATTTTTCATAAAGCTATTAATTTGGTAAGTCTCAAACAGGGGTTCTTAATCTGGGTCCTTGGGTGAACTTCAGGCAGTCCATACTTCTACAACTGGGGGCAAAGGTGTATGCACAAATGTACATGCACTGTATCTACAGAGTCCTCAAAGCTTCATCACTTCTCTAAGGAACCCATGATCCCCCGAGAAGGCTAAGAACCACTGATGGGGTCGAGATGTGAAAGAATACTACGAGTTGACTACTCAAAACCATAAAATCCTCATGAAGGTTTTAGAAAAGGAATTAAATGAAAATACTCTACAACTATAAAATTCAATATTAAACGAAGAACTTAAAAAAACTGCTACCAACTCACTGGTGACAACCCAGAACTTCTGGCCTGAATAATGAAAATGGAACGCCTGAGCTGATGTATGGCTGCTTTGGTGGCATATGATCATGATCATGTGTGGAGGGACATAACGTACACCTTCGAGCTACTTAATTCTGTGATTCGGGAACTTAAGCCCTTATCCTGGGCTTTCGTCCTCACAAAAGCAAAGATGGTATAAAACCAGAACTGGCACATTAATATAGTAAAAACCAGACTAGCTTTCCCACATTCAACTGAACAAACAAGGAACAAATATTGGCTATGTTTGCAATTCAAAATATCATCTGTGGCTCTGCTAGAAGGGTGACCATTTGATAAGGCATAAATACACAACGAAAATAAATGAACACCAGACCAACAACAAAACCCAAATAAAAAACCCAGCTTGGCCTCAAGATTAGATAAGTACAATTTATATCTTCTTATGAAATTAAAGATTATCACTTTTTGACAAGCAATAATGAAGTAGCAAATTTTCCAAAAGTTTTTAATTTAAATGAAATTTCTAATATTTGTTCCCTGCATGATAATTACATACATACACAAACTCATGTGCGTCATTTTGGCATTACTCTTGTGAAGTAGGAAAGGGTGAGAATTACCGCTGATTATGAATAAGAAACAAAACATGGTACTGATGGATTAAACCTTTCACTCAAGGCCATGATCCCTTCCCACCAATCTCCTCCAACTCATAAACAATTTACAATCTTGTATATTAATATCAAATTAAGGGCACAAAATTAATATTCAATACTCTTTTTTTTTTTTTTTTTGAGACGGAGTCTTGCTCTGTCACCAGGCTGGAGTGCAGTGGTGCGATCTCGGCTCACTGCAACCTCCGCCTTTCGGGTTCAGGCAATTCTCCTGCCTCAGCCTCCTGAGTAGCTGGGATTATAGGCACCTGCCACCACAACCAGCTAATTTTTGTATTTTCAGTACAGATGGGGTTTCACCATGTTGGTCAGGCTGGTCTCAAAACTCTTGACCTCAGGTGATCTGCCCACCTCAGCCTCCCAAAGTGCTGGGATTAGAGGTGTGAGCCACTGTGCCCAGCCAGAGGGATCATTTAATTACTTTCAAGTATATATGAATAGCATTTTTATCGTGAAAAACTCTCTGAGAGACCACTACAAACCTGAAAAGACTAATTAAGTGTTTATTAGTCTCAATTATTTAAATGGCTGATGCTAAACAGACAAAATATTTGAAAAAGATTGGATTTAGTAGACTAAAGGTTTCCCTTTTAATACTGTTAACACTTTTCAATTGCTTAGGAAGCACTGTGTGCATGTGTATGTACATGTATGTGTATAAATGTAAAATCATATACACTATAATTGTTTTACACATATATAAGTGTTTTACACTTTCATATATAATGTAAAGTAACTTTTAGCTCAGCCTCTGCATGACTTACGAAGAATTAATTGTAGAAAAATAAATTATTTATCTACTGTTTCAACCACTGCACATAAAAAGCCACAAGGCCCCGAAAAGAAAACACCACAAACAGTAAACAAAAAGTCACCTGGCATGTTCTTCAGGAAGTTTTCTTTGTCGCTGCATATGAAACATTAGGTCTCCTCCATTTACATACTCTATAACAAAGAACAATCTAAAACACAGGGGAGAACCCATGAAATCAAGATCCAAAATAAGGTAGTGTAACTTTGCATTTTCAGAAACCATCACAACAGACAGCATTCTCTACTATTTAGCCTTTAAAAAGATGCCAAAATTTTGGTGGAAACAAAGAGTATCTAGGGTACAGAAGATACGGAAGATACAAGAAAGTAAACCAGCATGATAATAATTTTGTAACCGACTACTTCTGTTCTAAAGTAGTACCACTTGCAACCCAGAGTCACTCATTAATATCCTAATTTCAGCATTTGCTAAATAAGTAATTTTTGACTATCAAGGTATTTTTCTTCCTTGTTAAACTCTAGAAAATTTTAAGTCATAAAACTAGAATATTGGGGATATTTAAAAGGTTGGATTTCTATTGCCATAATTATGACATGGCTATTTCTTTTTCTGCCTAAAGTAGGTCATTTCCTAATGCTGATCTAATATCAAACTGATATCACTGATGTGAGTATTATTAGCAGGAAGTTACAGGCCTAACACTGTTGCGTCCTCCATGATGTCTACTTCATGAATTAGAGCAGGAAGGTTCTAACTATGTAATACGACCAAAAATATGAAGCCCAGTAATCATTCTATTATCTTTCAATCTTACCTGCTTTCTGTCTGAAAGCAAGAATGTAGCCCAACAAGGAAAGGATGATTGGATGCCTGCTCAAACACATGCTTCTCTGTCTGTACCCAATCAATATCCTGTTTTGAAACATGTAAGAAAGCTATGTCAAACTGATATCACAATTAATGATAAATTTGCTCTGAGCAATTCAATGGTTGCAAATGCAATGGTTAACTAGGCTAAACATCAAAACCTTTGATAATCATGAAATGAAAATTTACAAACAAAGAGAAAAATAACACTAGTAAATCTTTCAGTATTATAAAACTGTCTAGAAAAGTTTTACAAAGCTCAAGTATTTCTCCTGATAATAATGTGGTTTGATTTTTGTTTTTCTAAAAAAATCTAATAATAATCAAATTACTTTAAATATCTTATACAGTCTATAAGAAAAGTAAACTGAAATAATATATTTCATTTACTTAGCACATATTTAGAAAAGCAGAATGAGATAATAAAGCACAAACATACAGGTTTTCTTTAAAATAGTATTCTTGGCCGGGCGCAGCGGCTCATGCCTACAATCCCAGCACTTTGGGAGGCTGAGGCAGGCGGATCACTTGACGTCAGGAGTTCGAGGCCAGCCTGGCCAACATGGTGAAACCCCATCTCTACTAAAAACACAAAAATTAGCCGGGCATGGTGGTGCATGCCTGTAATCCCAGTTACTTGGGAGGCTGAGGCAGGAGAATCACTTGAACCTGGGAGGCAGAGGTTGCAGTGAGCCAAGATTGCACCACTAGCACTCCAGCCTGGGTGACAAGAGTGAAACTCAAAAAAAAAAAAAAAAAAGAATAGTATTCTTAAGCAGTTTAGAAACAATAAAATACGCAGTGCTTACCTCATCATCATTAACAAGCTCTTTTTTCACAACTTTCATTGCATAAATACGATCTGTTTTTTTTAATCGAACCAATAGTACTTTGGCGTAACTTCCTCTTCCTATTACCCGCAGCAAATCAAAATCCTGGAGACCTAAACTGGATGAAGCTTTGCCACTTTCCCTGGTGTTCATTGCCTGTTGAGAACATTTGTATCAGAGTTATAATGGGAAATGCTTTGCATAGTGCATTATATTTCTAACACCTAGTTGTACCTGTAATGATTTAAAGATATTTTCCTAACAGAAATATGTTTTAAGTTCTTAATAGTTTTCAAATGTCATTCCAAACCATATAATCTAACTACCCAGATTATATGGATTAATTTTGAGATAAGAGGGATGGTAATAAGAATGGGTGGGGAGGGAGTTGAAATCACAAAAATATTGAAGGACGTCTTAAAAAGGATATGATAACTTTCAGGTAGAGAAGCAACAGAGATGCAGGAATTTAAAAAACACATTAACCTTGGTGACCAAGAGATTGGGGGTACCACTGACAGGGAACGTCAAGTGTGTGGCTAGGATAAGATTGACAAAGTTACTGGAGAGAACGATTGGATTTTTCATAATAAATTCAGAAATTATAATGAGACATCAAGATGAAAGAGTCTGCTGGAAGCTTGATGCATAAAATGTAAGCTAGTGAGAGCGCACATTCAGAGGCGTTTTTGGATGCTATAGACAGAAAACAAGCAAGAAGTAGTTCAGCGAATGGAAGACATTCTTTTCCACAGAATACCAAGGCCCCTCTGGGACAACATAGTAAGCCTTAAAATTCATTCACAACTACAAATGTAAGCTTCTGGCAATTTACAGAGAAGCCTGAAGACAGTCTTTTATTAGATGCCTGCAAAATCATCAACATACAAGGGACCCATGAGAATAAAGTATGAAATCTCTGAAGTGAAGAATACCAAGAAAAGCAAAGAGGAAATTCTGAGAAAGATAAAGAAACCTGCAAGCACAAAACTGAAAGAAGGGTATTAGAAAAACTGAGTGAGAACAACTTAAAAATTTAGAAATAATAATTTGGGCTGCACACAGTGGTTCATGCCTGTATTTCCAGCACTTATGGAGGCTGAAGCAGGTGGACTGATTGAACCCAGGAGTTCAAGACCAGCCTGGGCAATGTGGGGATAAACCTCATCTCTACCAAAAAATACAAAAATAACTGGGTGTTGGTGGTGTGCACTGTAGTCCCAGCTACCTGGGAGGCTGAGGTGGGAGGATCACCTGAGCCAGGGAGGTCGAGGTTGCAGTGAGCTGTGATTGTGCCAGTGCGCTCCAGCCTCTGTGACAAAGTAAGATCCTGTCAATAATAATAATAATAATAATTTGATTTGGTAACAAGGTGATACGGTTTGTATATTTGACCCCTCCAAATCTCAAATCTCATGCTGAAATGTGATCCCTGGTGGGAGGTGTTTGGGTCACAGGGACAGATTCCTCATGAATGGCTTTGTGCATTCCTGTGTGGTTAATGAGTGAGTTCAGAGTGTGGCACCTCCCCTGACTCTGGTGCTCCCTCTCTTGCCGTGTGGCACACCTGCTTTTCCTTTGCCTTCTGCCAAGACTGAAAGCTTCCTGAGGCCCTCACCAGATGCAGATGCTAGTGCAATACTTATTGGTCAGCCTGCAGAACCGTGCGCCAAATAAATCGTGTATAAATTACCCAGCCTCAGGTATCCCTTTATGCCTTCCTTCATTTATTTATTTAAGAAAAGTTCTTGCTCTGTCACCCAGGCTGCAGTACAGTGGCACGAACATAGCTCACTGCAGCCATGAACTCCTGGGCTCAAGTGATCCTCCTGCCTCAGTCTCCCAAGCAGCTGGGACTACAGGCATGTGCTTCCACACCCAGCTAATTTTTATTTATTTGTTGTAGACATGGGGTGTTTTGCTAAGTTCCCAAGGCTGGTCCCGAACTACTGGCCTCAAATGATCCTCCAGCTCCAAAGTGCTAGGATCATAGGCTTGAGCCGCAACACCCAACCTTCAGGTACTCCTTTGTAACAACACAAAACAGACTAACACACAAGGATAAATAAAGCAGAGTGAAAAGAAACCACGTTCGGGCAGGTTAATAAAGAAGAGAATTGTAAGAAAATAAGTCAACATATAGACTTGAAATATGGCTAACTGGAAACTATAAGAGAGAATCAAGTGGAGCAAAAAAGAGCAGAGTAAACTTCACGGACACAATAATAAGGCTGAATGAAATGACAGAAGCCACATAACAGTGAAACGTCATCTTCAAAGGGCCTAAAAGAGAAGAAAACAGCTGACTTAGAATTCTCTATCCTGCAAAAGCAGCTCACAAAGTGAAAGTGAAAGAAAAATATTTTCAGACAAACAAAAACCGAGTGGATCCATCACTAGTAGGCACTCACTAAAGGAAAAACTAAAGTTCTTGAAGGGGAAAAAGCATGATCTCAGATAGAAGAACAAAGATGTAGGAAGGAACAAAAAACAAAAAGGGTAAAATGTGGGTAAATCTACATAAGGAGTAACTGTTTAAAAAAACAAATATACACACACACAGAATTTTAAACTCTGACAATAATAGCACCCAAAGGCAGGAATGGAAGAGGAATGAATTTAAAGTGTGCCAAGCACTGCATTTTCTAGAGAAACAGTAAAAGTGTTATTTGTAATATTTTTTAAATTCAAATTTTATCTTAGAGGGGCTATGTGTGTGTGTTTGTTACATGGGTATATTGCAACCAGGTAGTGAACGTGCTACTGAATAGGTAGTTTTTCAACCCATGCTGCCCCCGCCGCAAGCAGCGTCTGCTGCTCCTGTGATTATGTTTATGTGCGCTCAATGTTTAGCTCCTACTTGTGAGAACATGTAGTATTCAGTTTTCGGTTCCTGCGTTAATTCGTTTAGGATTATGACCTCCAGTACTATCTATATTGCCACAAAACACATGGTTTCATGTTTTTTTGCCCACTCCACTATTGATGGACTCCTAGGTTGATTCCATGTCTCTGCTATTGTGAACAGTGCAGTGATGAACATACAAGTGCATGTGTCTTTTTGACAGAATGATCTGTTTTCCTTTGGGTACATACCCAGTAATGGGAGACTGCTAGGTCAAACGGTAACTCTGTTTAAAGTTCTTTAAGAAATCTCCAAATTACTTTCCACAGTGGCTAAGCTAGTTTACATTCTCACCAACAGTGTATAAGCATTCCCTTTTCTCTGCAGCCTCACCAGAATCTGTTGTTTTTTGAGGTTTTTTTTTTTTCTTTTTGAGATAGTGTCTCACTCTGTCACCTAGGCTGTAGTGGCGCAATCATGGCTCACTGCAGCCTCGACCTTTGGGGTTCAAGCGATCCTCCCACCTCAATCTCCTGAAGAGCTGGTACTACAGGGGCACAGCACTGGACCTGGCTAATGTTTTATTTTTTTGTAAAGACTATGTTGCCTAGGCTGCTCTTGAACTCCTGGGCTCAAACAATCCTTCCGCCTCAGCCTCTCAAAGTGATGGGATTACAGGTGTGAGCCATCACGCCCAGGTTGACTTTTTAGTAACAGCTATACTGACTGGTGTGAGATGGTATCTCACTGTGGATTTGATTTCTATTTCTCGATAATTAGTGATGATGAATGGTTTTTCAGGTTTGTTGGCTGCTGATAGGTCTTATTTTGAGGTATGTCTGTTCATGTCCTTTGTTCCCCCCCACCTTTTTTTTCTTTCTTTAAACAGAGTCTTGCTCTGTTGCCCAGGCTGGAATGCAGTGCCATGATCTTGGCTCACTGCAACCTCTGCCTCCTCAGTTCCAATGATTCTCATGCCTCAGCCTCCTAAGTAGCAGGGATTATAGGTGTGTGCCACCATGCCCTAATTTTTTCCTTTTTTGTATTTTTAGTAGACATGGGGTTTCACTACATCGGCCAGGCTGGTCTCAAACTCCTGGCCTCAAGTGATCTGCCTGCCTCTGCCTCCCAAAGTGCTGGGATTATCAATGTAAGCCACCATGCCTGGCCCTTTGCTCATTTTTTAATGGGGTTTGTTTTTTGTTTTTAAGTTCCTTATAGATTCTGGATATGAGATCTTTGTTGGATGTATAGTTTGTGAATATTTTCTCCCATTCTGTAGGTTGTCTGTTTATTGGTAGATTCTTTTGGTGCACAGAAGCTCTGTAGTTTAATTAGGCCCCATTTGTCCATTTTTGGCTTTGTTGCAATTGCTTTTGGAGACTTAACCAAAAATTCTTTGCCAAGGCCAATGTTGAGAGGGTATTTCCTAGGTTTTCTTCTAGGATTTTTATAGTGTGAGGTCTTACATTTAAATCTTTATTCCATCTTGAGTAAATTTTTGTATATGGTGATAAGGGTCCAGTGGTGACACATGCCTGTAGTCCCAGCTACTTGAGAGGCTGAGATGGGAGGATTGTTTGAACTCAAGAAGTTGAGGTGTAGTGAGCCATCACTGCACCACTGCACAGCTGCCTGTGCAATAATCCTGTCTCACAAAAAAAAAAAAGAAAAAAGTTAAAAAGAAAAAAAGACTTTTTCAGACAAACAGAACAAGAAACTAAAACATAACATCAAACAGGTGACTTATAGGTTTCTTCAAAATAATACAGGAGTGAGGGAAGTGAGTAGACAAAATAAGGCTGGCCATGAATTGATAGTTGTTTTAACTAACAATAGATACAAAGGCTTTGTTATATTATTCTGTTTACTTTTATTTATGTTTGAAATTTTTGGCTGGGCACGGTGGCTCATGCCTGTAATCCTAACACTTTGAGAGGCTGAGCTGGGAGAACTGCTTGAGGCCAGGAGTTCGGGACCAGCTTGGGCAACATAGTGAGACTCTGTCTCTACAAAACAGAAAATGAAAAAATTAGCTGGGTGTGGTGGCGCATGCCTACAGTCCTGGCTACTCGGGAGGCTAAGGTGGGAAGATAACTTGAGCCCAGGAGTTCAAGGTTGCAGTGAGCCATGATCACACCACTGCACTCCGGCCTGGGCAACACAGCAAGACCCCAACCCAAAAAAAAGAAAGATATGGGAAAAAGAAACAGTGTGAACTAAACCTTTCATATCCAGAAATACACAAAAATGAAAAATTAAAAAACAGAAATACAAACATTATGGACGTAACTAGAAATGGTTTAAAAGGTTGCTAAGAAGTCAAACTGGGAGTGGAAGGTGTGAGACATGATCATCTTTTTCACTATAAGCTTTTTTCAAAAAACTGATTATTATTGTAATCAAATAATTTTAATTAAGAATTTGTTTTGTTTTAAAAACTGATAAAATAATAGTCAAAAAAATAATGACAGTTAACATGTTTAATCATTTGTTATCTAAATAAGCAATTCAGGCACAAAATGGAAGGGTCTACTACATATTTTAAACAATACTACCAAGTATTTTAAACAGTATCAAATACATTGTGATTTTTAGATTCAGCTATTTTAAAATGAAAATAAGCTATCCCACTAAATTATTTCCTATTTTAAATTAGTGATTTAATTAGTAAATTAAATGAGAACAAAACTCTGGAATCATCACAAATCATTTTTGTATTTCACCATTATGATCTAAAGTCTAAGCAGGTCAATATGTCATACTTTTAAACTCCTGAGCCTTATTAAAAATCTAATGACATAATGTACAATAAGACAAATTATCTTACCTCTTTTTCTTCACCAACTTGATCCAAACTCTCATGACTTGAAGGATTGTATGGAATTACTAAAAACCCATTAAAAAAAAAAAAAAAAAAAGGTACAGGGAGAAAAAACCAGCAACCATTAATGAGTTTGAAATAAAAATTATCTCCTGATTTTTATTTTAGATTTTACTTCTGAATAAATTTCCTTATTTAAAACCGAATACCTGTCCTACTAATAACAAATTGTATGTAAATACAATAGTTAAATCCCAATCTTTAGTGAGGGTAAAGAGACTAAGCATTACAATCCGGTAGCCAAGTACTGCGTTTAACAAGTACTTGTGTTATTTTTAAAACATTTCTCTTCTTTACAAATTAATCAAACACTTCCTTTTAAATGAATGACTCTATAAGATATGCTTAAACTTTTTACTATGATTAAGACACAGAGATACAGGACCTCTGGTTTTCACTTCTCACTCCATTGTACTCAAAATTTTCCTGACTACCACAATGGTCAAGTAAAGAACAGACAAGAATGGAACTTCTACTTCTTAAAGCTACTTGGGGCAAAAAAACACAGCCTACATTTCATAGAGCTGATCCTTCTATGAGTAGGAGATTGCATCTTGTCTTTCCAGAAAAACTCCCTTGTTTTCCCTTTCTTGATTTAGTCCAAAGAAGATCATGCTGTTCTACCTCCTTTCACTGCTCTCCAAATTTCCCAGATACGTGTTTAAGGTTTTGTACCTATCTAACATTTTCACTTATACCATCTTCCTGGAATTTCCTATATTGCATCTCTCTATCTTTCACCTAATTTCTACTTCTGATAATAAAGCTTTTAATAAAAACAAGTCACTTCGGCTGGGCGCAGTGGCTCACGCCTGTAATCCCAGCACTTTGGGAGGCCAAGGCGGGCAGATCACCTGAGGTCAGGAATTCGAGACCAGCTGGCCAACATGGTGAAACCTCGTCTCTACTAAAAATACAAAAAAACTAGCTGGGCATGGTGGCATGAACCTGTAATCCCAGATACTCGGGAGGCTGAAGCAGGAGAATCACTTGAACCTGGGAGGTGGAGGTTGCAGCGAGCCAAGATCGCGCCACTGCACTCCAGCTTGGGTAACAGAGCAAGACTCTGTCTCGAAAGAAAAAGAAACAAACAAGTCACCTGAACACAGTCAACATGGGTCACAAAATCAGCTTCATGGTTTTCATTATGGAAAAAAACTGAGTTTGCTGAATTTAAAGGAGTCTCAAAAGAAATTTATGTGAACTAGAAAAAATAGTCATCTGTTGTGGTTTACATAACTTTTTTGTTTTTTTTTTAAGTAGAGACAGGGTCTCCCTATGTTGGCCAGGCTGGTCTTGAACTCCTGGGCTCAAGGGATCCTCCTGCCTCTACCTCCAAAGTGCTGAGATTATAGGTGTGAGCCAACATACCCAGCGCACAGTTGTCTTTTAAAAATGCCAAATGTGTATGTTAAATTGTGTGATTTTACCACAGCGAAATATATGTATTTACTTTTAATTGGAAAGAAATAAATGTTGTTAAACTTGGGTAAGAGAGTCACCTAAGTAAGTCTTTACATGCTACTCTGTGAATGAACAATGGGTTGTGCCAGTACCGCTCTTACCTGTCTGTGCATGGTCAGAATGCATGGATGACTGATCCATGGGCATCACTGGTTCCTACAAACATTTCCAAAGACACAGTAACTCAGTGGAGTACCTCTATTACACCCAGAAACAACATTATTTCAACAATACACAGCATATTAAAATTTAATTTTGAAAGAATATAACTTAAGTGAGAATTATATTTACTCTTAATTTTGTTTTATGAAACTATACAATACTGCTATGAATGAGGTAATGTTAGTCACATTTTACAGAAAAGAAAATACAAAACTAATTTCAGACCACCAATTAGAAATCAAATTAAACTGCCATATATTCTGCTTTGTTTTTCTTCAACACTACCTATTCTTCCTTCAAGCTCCACTTCAAATCTTTGGCAAAAATAAGTGTCTGGAATATGCATTCTTTAGCTGGGGCCCAGGGGTAGATTTCAGGATATCAAAAACACCTTAAAATTACATGTAAAATTTTGTGGGTTTCTCTTTTCCTGAAGATTCTCAAGGGTGTCAGTGGCCCCAAAAAAGAGAAAAAAAATACTTCCTAGAAACTAACTTACCCAAATAACGGCGAATAATCTCAGGAAAAGGTAAATTCAAACCCAAGTTATTACTGATTTATTCTTAGACTCACATTTAATGAATACCAGCAGGAAAAGGTAAACTTGAGAAAGAACATTAATGATACAGTTAGCACTTCAAGGCTGCCTTAAAGACAGGCTCATAAGTAAGCTTAAGGATTTTTAAATGCATTTAACCCCATCCTAAATTTCCAATATAATCACTAACCCTGCCCCCTTTCCTTCCATATGTCACCAAATAATACTTAAAAATATTAACAGTAATCTATATAAATTATGTTGGAAATATTCAGCCTTCTGTTTTTCCTTAAGATTGGATTTTCCCCTTTACTACAAACCCATTCCTAAGCTTATATGAACTAATTAAAGAATTCTAATATCAAAGAGCTACCAGTAATAACCTGCTTTCACAATGTCCAAAGAAAGTCCCATGAATAAACATGGAATAACAATTCTAAAGAACAATTTAGAAAGATGCATTCAGGTATTTTTCTTTCTTTCTTTTTTTGACTGTTCCTTGTGGAGCAGGGCTAATCGACAGGCAGTGCACTTAGACAAGCTGCACCCAGGTATCTTTTTAAATGCGTATCTTTTAACGCGGTAATTCTAATTCTGGATCCTTAAGGAAGTAAGATTTGCCAGAAAGTTCACTAAGATTGGCCAGGTGCAGTGGCTCACACCTGTAATTCCAGCACTTTGGGAGACCGAGGTGGGTGGATCACCTGGGGTCAGGAATTCAAGATCAGCCTGGCCAACATGGCAAAACCCCGTCTCTACTGAAAATACAAAAATTAGCTGGGCGTGGTGGCACACACCTGTAATCCCAGTTACTTGGGAAGCTGAGGCAGGAGAATCGCTTGAACCCGGAAGGCGGAGGTTGCAGTGAGCCAAGATCGCGCCACTACATTCCAGCCTGGGAGACAGAGCGAGGTTCTGTCTCAAAACAACAACAATAAAAAGACACATGCAAGCACATGTGCCCTCTGGTGGATAAACAACCCTCTGTAAAGTTGACTGAAAAACAACCCACCAAAAAACAAACAAACCAACCCCAGAATCTAATTAAACCTGGACATCCAACTACTGTACAAGACAAAAGAATAAAGAAGACAATAACATACTGAACATAACCATGGAGAAGTAATGAGCCAAATTCTGCAACAGTGTAAATGACAAACAAATGTTTCTTTTACAATTAAATTGTAAGGAAAAAAAGAAGAGAGAGCAATAAATGAAGAAAGAACTAGTAAGTTAAAAAATATCTAAGAGATCAATCAATTGTACAGGTGGACTTCATTTGGATCCTGATTCACAATGAAAACTATAAAAACAAAATTATAATATTTATGAGAACACTTACTGGATATTTTACATAAGGAATTTTTTTGTTTTGTTTTGTTTTAATTTATTTATTATTATTATACTTTAAGTTGTAGGGTACATGTGCATAACGTGCAGGTTTGTTACATATGTATATTTAGTTAGTTTTTTTAAAAGTTCTTCTCTTTTAGAGGTACATACTGAAATACGTCTGAGATTTGTTTGAAAATAACATAGGGCAAGGGGAAGTTAAGTGAATGGGGGTACAGATGAAACCAAGATTAGTCATGAGTTGATAACTGTTGGAGGTGGGTCTCTAGTACATGGGAGTTCATTATAGTGTTCTACCTACTCTTATACATGTTTACATTTTTTCCATATGGAAAATTAAAAATGTTTATGCATATAAATTTGCACAGGAAAAGTTCTGGAAGGATATCCACCAAATGACAATTACCTTTAGATGGTAGAATATATGTGGACTTTTACTTAATTTTTTAAAATTCATCTGTATTCTGTATTTTTTCTCTAACAAACATATTTTATTTATATACTTAAAATAGAAATTGATAAATAAAAATTTTAAATGCTTTCCTCCCCAGTAATCTCACACTTTAAATAGCAAACATGGTATCTTTGACTCTTCTTACCTGATATCTGCTTAGGAGAGATGCCAGAATAATGTGAGCTATAAACTAATATGTTCAGATTAAAGGAGAGGGGAAAAAAGTCTCTTAAATGGTTCTCTCTATATTTTCCTAATTTAGACCAGAGGAATTTATAGTAGGTCAAAGAAGCTAACTGTATCCCACAAACAAATATTACCACAGATATTTCGAAGTTCCAAAGTTCAAGGTATGTTAACAGGAATGTAAGGTATTCGTACCCACACTCTGTAGCTACTCTGTTGTGTCGTAATTCCTGAACACCTCCCTATTTTAGCACTCTGTTCCAGTAGTGTTATCAAGCACGCTCTTAACAAAAAAAAAAAAAAAAAAGGACAGACAACTGTATCTTACCGGTGGCAAAGAATGCCGCCCACATTCAATTGTGACGAGTTTATGGCACTTCTTATGAACCAAGAGTTTGCAGTTGATGCACTTATATCCTTGGCGTCCAAGTCCCCATATTCGGTCTGTGCAGATGGCACAGTGAGCACGCTGAAAAGAGTAATTCAACAATATTTTATTAACCAAAAAGAAGGTCATAATCATTTCCCAGTTTGCTGACTCAATTCCCTTTGTCATGGTGTCAACTGTCAGCCCATGACAAAAACAAAAGCAAAAACAAAAGCAAAACAAAGCTTCTTCATACATAATTTTTTAAAAGCTATGAAGGTCAGTGAAAAACAGAGCTTATTTTAAACAGACAGTGAAACTTGCAACCACATTTCTTTCTAAGAATTTTCAGTCTTCACATAATTAAGTTCAGAATAATGAAAACAGAAAAAGTGAATTAAATTAGAAATATACATGGCAGAAAAAGCCATTGAAGGACTCCTAAGCAAACATTAACCTTGCAGGCTGTTCAGAGGTCAAACCAAAGCTCTGTTTTCTTAAAGAGCAATAACCTAAAGTGACTTTTCATTTCAAAGCCTCCCTCCTTCCTTCCTTCCTTCCCCCTTTTTTTTTTTTTAATTTGAGACGCAGTTTTGCTCTTGTTGCCCAGGCTGGAATGCAATAGCACAATCTCAGCTCACAGCAACCTCCACCTCCCAGGTTCAAGTGATTCTCCTGCCTCAGCCTCCAGCGTAGCTGGGATTACAGACATGTGCCACCATACCTGGCTATGTCTTGTATTTTTAGTAGAGACGGGGTTTCACCATGCTGGTCAGGCTGGTCTCAAACTCCTGGACCTCAGGTGATCCACCCGCCTTGGCCTCCCAAAGTGCTGGGATTACATGTGTGAGCCACCACGCTCGGTCTTTCTTTTTATTTATTTATTTATTTTTAAGAGACAGTGTCTTGCTCTGTCAGCCAGGCTGCAGTCCAGTGGAGTCACTTTGATTCACTGCAGCCTCAACCTCCTGGGCTCAAGCTTCCTGAGTAGCTAGGACTACAGGTGTGCACCACCATGCCCCGCTAATGACTGCATTTTTTGTAGAGATGGGATCTCACTACATTGCCCTGGCTGGTCTCGAACTCCTGGGCTTCAGTGTTCCCCCTTCTCAGCCTCCCAAAGTGCTGGGGATTACAGGCAGGTACCATTGCACCCAGCCTCAAAGCCTTCTTAAATGTCAGTGCTACTGGAAGTAAAAGAGTTTGGAGAGGGATTTCAGGTGGTGGTTTCTATTTACATTAATTAATTTAGGACATGGCATTAATTTTAGAATGGAAATGGCATCCAAAATTTGCAGTTATCAAGAGTATTTAAAAACTTCGCTTCTGGCCAGGCATGGTGGCTTATGCCTGTAATCCCAGCACTTTGGGAGGCTGAGGCAGATGCATCAGGTGAGGTCAGGAGTTTGAGACTAGCTTGGCCAACAAGGTAAAACTCCGTCTCTACTAAAAATACAAAAAATAGCCAGGCCTGTTGGCTGACGCCTGTAGTCCCAGGTACTCAAGAGGCTGAGGCACAAGAATCGCTTGAACCCAGGAGATGCAGGTTGCAGTGAGCCGAGACCGTGCCATTGCACTCCAGCCTGGGTGATACAGCGGGACTCCATCTTTAAAATAAATAAATAAATAAATAATAAATTAATAACTAATTCTGAAGACAGACTGCTGCTTTCAAACTTTGGTTCTATCACTTACTAGCTGTATGATCTTGGGCAAGTTACTTAACAGCCCTGCACTTGAGTTTTGCCATCTATAAAGTGGAAATATATAGTACCTATCTCACAGGGTTGCTGTAAGGATTAAATGAATCAATGTATATAAGGCATTTGGAAAAGTGCCTGGTATATAGTACAACCCAGATAAGTGTTTGCTATTATTATTTTCTAAACCGTGAAAATCAAATTACAACACTAACTGGCAAAATAAAGATTAAATAAAGAAAATAAACCTTGCTTGTTTTCTGGCTGCCTTAAATTATATTTTAAAATCCAATTTTCTTACAGCTAGGGTATATTATGTGGAATAATTAATCATCCAATCTGGAGCTCTTTTTTTGAGACTGGGTCTTGCTCCATTGCCCAGGCTGGAGTGCAGTGGCACAATCTCGGCTCACTGCAACCTCTGCCTCCCAGACTCAAGTGATTCTCCTGCCTCAGTCTCCCGAGTAGCTGGGACTACAGGCGTAAGCCACTGCACCCGGCTAATTTTTGCATTTTTAATAGAGAGAAGGTTTTGCCATGTTGGCCAAGCTTGAACTCCTGGCCTCAACTGATCCGGCAGCCTTGGCCTCCCAAAGTGCTGGGATTATAGGCCTGAGCCACCACCCCTGGCCTGGAGCATTTTTAGGAGTGAAAAGAGATGCTATTAAAAATTACAGGCATACTGCCTCAGGCAAACTGGAAACGTAAGGTCATGTTACTTATGTATTTAAAAGTGTGTAACAAGACTTAATAACAAACTACCTTTCTTTCATAGCAGAAAGGAAAAAAATTGCTGTCTCACATTATCAGCATTCAACAAACTACGTTTACCCTGTTGAAACGCTTGGCTTGGAAAGTGTGGCCATTGGCACAATAAAGCTTTCTCCAGCGGCGTGCACCTCTACGGTAGATGGATTCTGAAGAGAGAGTAATAGTTAAAAAAAGAAAAAAGAGCAAGCGTGAGTAAAAGTCATTTTATAATTAAGTCTGTAATTTTTTTCATGATACTCATTGCAAGAAAAAAAAATACTGATAAAAACGTGAACGTCAAAAAGTAAAATAGATTCATCAAGGGACCAGACAAAAATAATCCACAGGGTATAAATATTTGACTACTACTGCGTGTCTTTTTTTTTTTTTTTTTTTGTGAGACAGAGTCTTGCTCTGTCACCTGTCACCCAGACTGGAGTGCAATGGCACAGTCTCAGCTCACTGCAACCTCCACCTCCCAGGTTCAAGAGATTCTCCTGCCTCAGCCTCCCGAGTAGCTGGGATTACAGGGATGCGCCACCACGCCCAGCTAGTTTTGTATTTTTAGTAGAGACGGGGTTTCTCCATGTTGGTCAGTCTGGCTAGAACTCCCAACCTCAGATGATCCACCCACCTCGGCCTCCCAAAGTTCTGGTGTTACAGGTGTGAGCCAACGCGCCCGGCCTACTACTGCTTTTCTTTTTAAAAATTTTCCTCCAACTTTTTATTTTGAACATCTTTTAATCCCACAGAAAAGGTAAAAGAATAGACACCTTCATCTTCCACCGAGATTTACCAATTATTCATGTTTTGTCATATTTACTTTCTTCACTATAAAAAAACATACTTTTTTTTTTCTGAATTACTTGGAATTAAATGCAGATATCATGACACTTAAATACCCTTAAATACCCTTAAATACCCAAGTATCCATTGTCTGAGATTAAGGATATTCCACCCCCTCCACTCGACCCAATTCTACCTAACCACAATACCATTACCATGTCTTAGAAAATCAATATTAATTCAATATCGACCAATATACAACTCATATACAAAACTTCCCTAACTGCTTTCAAAGTGACTTTCTTTTTTGAGACATAGTATCACCCAGACTGGAATCCAGTGGTGCAATTTCAGCCCACTGCAACCTCCGCCTCCTGGGTTTAAGCAATTATCCTGCCTCAGCCACCCAAGTAGCTGGGATTGCAGGTACACACCACCACACCCAGCTAATTTTTGTATTTTTAGTAAAGACGGGGTTTTGCCATGTTCGCCAGGCAGGTGTCAAACACTGACCTCAACTGATCTACCTGCCTCAGCCTCCCAAATTGCTGGGATTACAGGCGTGGGCCACTGTGCCCGGCCCCAAAGTGACTTTCAAAGCTCACTTTTTCTATCCAGGATGCAATCAAGATTCAGGGACTGCATTTGATCATGCTTTTTTGGTCTCCATTCTAAAACATTCACTCTGCCTTATTTGTTGCTACTTCTTTTTCATGATGTTGACTTATTTATTTATTTATTATTTATTTAAAGAGTCTGGTTAGTTGTTTTATATTACATCCCACATTCTGGGTTTGTCTGTTTACTTACAATTAGAGGCAGTATTAAATACCTTTGGCAAAAACAATACATAGGTAGTGTTGTGTATTTCTTATCTCATTACCTTTCATGAGGTACACAAATGTCAGAATATCAACTCCCACTACTGATGTTCAATAATCATTAAAGGTATTGACTGCTAGATCTCTTCATTGTAAAGGTACATTTCACTCTTTGTAACTATCTGTAAAGAGATATTTTGTACCAGAAGCGTATCTTTTTCCCCAACAACTTTTCATCCAGTGGTCTTTATATTAATATGTTTCTTAAGTATAGTTAGAGAAAGAGGTTCCAAATGATCAAATCTAGTCCACCTTCATATTTTTAAGTCCATCGCTATCATATATATTGTCTATTAGTCATTAATAATAACATCCCACAGTAATGGTAATAACAGTAATAGTTAATACCACAGAAATATTACATTAGGTTCCCAAAGTCATATTTTAAACCAAATGTAGCAATGGGTTTACTATTTAAAATTAAGATACTAAAGACCAGTTGCAATGCTCTCAATTAGAACTCTTAGGATAGCTTAATACAGAATTGAAAGTTTAGAGCTATTTTAATTAATTAAAAGCAAAACATTTACCACTATTCCTTCTAAAGTCATGAGCATGTGCAGAAACCACAAATGAAATTGAGTTGCCTAATACCCACAATTAGTAAATTATGCCAAATACCAAAAGCAGTAACTTATAATCAAACATATGTTTGCATACTTAAATTACATTAGAACAAAGAGTAGTTGGACTCTTTGAGTGCATCTCATTAATAGTAACCATTGGCTTATATATTCCAAAGAAATTATATTAACAATTCCTGACCTGGGGAAGCTTTTAAGTGGTGGTTCTCAAACTGTAGTGTGCATCAGAATCACCTGAAGAGCTTGTTAAACCTGGTAGCTCAGCCCCAGTCCAAGAGTTTATGAATCACGTAGATTGGAGTGCAGTATTTTTTTGAGACAGAGTCTCGCTCTGTTGCCCAGTGGCGTGATCTCAGCTCACCGCAACCTCCGCCTTCCAGGTGCAAGCAATGCTCCTGCCTCATCCTCCTAGGTAGCTGGATTACAGGCATGCATCACCACACCTGGCTAACTTTTTTGTATTTTTAGTAGAGATGGGCTGTCACCATGTTGGCCAGGCTGGTCTTGAACTCCTGACCTCAAGTTGATCTGCTCACCTCAGCCTCCCAAAGTGCTAGGATTACAGACATGAGCCACTGCACCTGGCCTGAGTGCAGTTTCTATCCAGTTCTCAGGTGAAGCTCACGCCGTGGACCCCAATGGCTACATTTTGAGAGTTAGTTTTAAAATACAAAGATGTCCAGATCTCACTTACAGACTAATTCATTAGGCTTGGGGATGGAAATCTGGCATTGATCATTCCCTGCATCCCACAATTTTAATGTGTCCAAGGGTAAGAACCACTGTTCCACTGTGGACTATGGTTGGTTACCTGAAGTTACTAGAAGCTGGAGATCTAATAAATATACACATTTCTCTGGGTCAATTGTAGGAAGTCTGCAATATTTAAGACATTTAATAAGTGACTTGGGGCCAGGTGTTGTGGCTCATGCCTATAATCCCAGAGCTTCGGGAGACTGAGGTGGGTGGATCACCTGAGGTCAGCAGTTTGAGACCGGCCTGGCCAACACGGTGAAACCTCAACTCTACTAAAAATACAAAAATCAGCTGGGCATGTTAGCGGCGCCTGTAAATCCCAGGTACTCAGGAGGCTGAGGCAGGAGAATTACTTGAACCCCAGAGGCAGAGGTTGCAATGAGCCAAGATTGCGCCACTGCACTCCAGCCTGGGTGAGAAAGCGAGACTCTGTCTTAAAAAAACAAAACAAAACAAAAAAAACAGTGACTTAGTAATTGTTAAAAAAAAAAAAAAAAAAACACTGCAGAAAAATAAAAGCCAATTCCTAACGACATGCGCTGAGTGTCATGTCACTCTCAAGTGGTATAACAAAAAAAACCACAAGTGTGTTTGTTATGTATAACTGTGCATGCATAGACATAGACAGATACAGAGATAAAGCAAACAGGGAAAATGTTAAAAATTGGTAAATCTGGGCAAAGGATATATAGGTATCCTTGTTTTCAATGTTGTTTCAACTTCTGCATAGGTTTGAACATTTCCAAAATTAAATTTTAAAACTTAAATTTAACTTAATTTTCCTTTCATATGTGCAACAGACAATCATGTAAGTTGTAACTAAGAACTATCTGAATTTGATCTGGCAAAAGTAGCATTTGGGCAGTCACTAATATATTTTAAACTGACTGAAAAATGGAAAATAAATCAAATGAATTAGAACTTCTATTTCCTTTTTTTTTTTTTTCTTCCTTGAGGCAAGGCCTGTCTCTGTCACCCACACTAGAGTGCAGTAGTGTGACCTTGGGTCACTGTAGCCTCAAACTCCAGCGCTCAAGGGATCCTCCCACCTCAGCCTCCCAAGTAGCTGAGATTATAGGCACATACCATGCTAACTTTTTTGTGTATTTTTGGAAAGACAAGGTCTCACTTTTTGCCCAGGCTGGTCTTGAACTCCTAGGCTTAAACGATCCTCCCACCTCAGCCTCCCACAGTGCTGGGATTACAGGCATTAGCCACTGTCCACTGTGCCTAGCTAAAAATTCTATCTCTGATTTCTTTTTCACTTGTACCATACATAGCATAGTAACTCTTGTAAAAGGTATGTATATAAACACTCACTATCTTCTCCTGGACAAGGCATCCCAGGACGTTCTGGTACACAAGGGAACACTGAAAGAAAATAAATGAACATGAGTTAACAGCATGTTTAAAACATAAAAATTACACAGAATTTAAAATTCAAATGTAAAAGACACTGACCCAGATTTCAACCTGACCCTCTCTTCATTTGAGACAAGATAGCATGCGGTCAATATTATTTGCCAAAGGGATTCATTTTACCAAGGCCATATAAAAGAAGGTTTTATTTGCCTTTGCTTTGTTGATATTAAAAAAAAATTTTTTTTTAAGTCTTATAAAAACAAACAATCTATAAACAATATCTATAAACAATGCATTAGGCTGGTCACGGTGGCTTACGCCTCTAATCCCAGCACTCTGAAAGGCCAAGGTGGGTGGATCACTTGAGGTCAGGAGATGCCAGACTGGCCAACATGGTAAAACTCTGTCTCTACCAAAAACTACACAAAAAAAAATTAGCCTATTAGCCTGGCATGGTGGCATGCCTATAATACCAGCTACTTGGGAGGCTGAGGCCCAGGAATCGCTTGAACCCGGGAGGCGAAGGTTGCAGTGCGCTGCAATCATGCCACTGCATTCCAGCCCAGGCGACAGAGTGACACACCATCTCAGAAACAAAAACAAAAACAAAACAAAACAAAAAACCAAAGCAACAGAAGCTCAAATTACTAATTCCAGTCCCTGTTACATCATTATTTTCTTATCCTTAAATAAATCATTAACTAGCATTTCGTTAAATCGTTGGTATAGTGGGACAAGTTTGTCACAATGAAGGATGAAAATTAAATTACAAAATGTATACAAATATGAAACATAAAATATTAGTTTTTAAAAGAGGTATACTAAACTTACGAATAAATTAACACCAGAAACAGTACCAAAATCAAAAATGTAAATTTATATTAGAAACTATAAATTTATATACTGATTCCAAACCATTTTTATAACAAGGTAGAATATAAAGCAACAATGTATTTATGAATATCTAGTCAGCTATTGCTAGTCTGTGATGTACTAAAGGACATAGCTTAATAAAGAGCACAGACTACAGGAAGCACAGTTCCTAATGCATATTTTTTTTTTTTTTCTAATGCATATTTTTAAAAGCTGAAACATAAGCTAGCTTCTGAAAGCATCTGTGATGTAGTATTAAAAGGCAATAAGACTTAAAACAGACTGTTTAATACCATTCATCAGTCACTTCTTTATGCATTCACTGTAATTTTATTCTGGAAAGAGATGACAAAAAAATAGATTCTTAAAGTCCTATTAGAATCTCAACAAAGTACATTATGGATCGCTTGTGAGTCACTATGTCGAATTCTGGAGGTAGAAAAAATCAGGGCAGGTGTGCTGGCTGACACCTGTAATCCCAAAACTTTGGGAGGGCAAGGCAGGCAGATCACCTGAGGTCAGGAGTTTGAGACTAGCCTGGCCAACATGGCAAAACCCCATCTCTACTAAAAATACAAAAATTAGCTGGGCATGGTGGTAGGCGCCTGTAATCCCAGGTACTTCGGAGGCTGAGACATGAGAATCACTTAAACACAGGAGGCCGAGGTTGCAGTGAGTTGAGATTATGCCGCTGCCCTCTAGCCTGGGCAACAGAGTGAAACTGTCTCAAAAAAAAAAAAAAAAAAAAAAAAAAAAAGATAAAATGAAACCACTGCTTTTTTAAAAAAATATACTGTAAAGGAAAATACAAAGAAATAGTAACAAGACACTGAAATGATTCATTATACTTAAGGAAAGATTTACATTTGTTTCACTTTTTTAAAAGTTTCCTAAGTCTGGTCTCACAGCTCTCAAAAATGTTCAATGAAATACTGCCAATACATTGCAATTAAATGCAGCATATTAAGAGGTTCTTGGGTGGGCACAGTGGTTGACACCTCTAATCCCAGCACTTTGGGAGGCCCAGATGGTAGGACTCCTTAAGCCCAGGAGTTTGAGACCAGCCTGGGCATCGTAGTGATATCCGATCTCCACACACAAAAAACAGAGTAGCCAGTCATAGTGGTGTGGCAGTGCCTGTGGTCCCAGTTACTCAGGAGGCTGAGGTGGGAGGATCGCTTGAACCTGGGAAGTCAAGGCTGCAGTGAGCTATAACTGCACCAATGCACTCCAGCCTGGGCAAAAGAGCAAGAGAAACTGCCTCAAAAAAAAAAAAAAAAAAAAAAAAAAAAAGTTTTACATGACAAAAAAAGTTTGAGGGTTAGCATAGTTGAATGAAATAAACACAAATTTGGAATCAGAATTCCTAGATTCACAATCCAGGTCTACAATGTGCCAGTTACATATATGATAACTGAGTTTAGGTTACTTCTTTTTATGCCACTTCCTACATCTCAAGGTTGCTGAGGTTTTTTTTTTGTTTTTTTTTTTTTTTGAGACGGAGTCTCGCTCTGTCGCCCAGGCTGGAATGCAGTGGCGCGATCTCCGCTCACTGCAAGCTCTGCTGCCTCCCAGGTTCATGCCATTCTCCTGCCTCAGCCTCTCTAGAAGCTGGGACTACAGGCGCCCGCCACCACGCCCGGCTAATATTTTGTATTTTTAGTAGAGACGGGGTTTCACCGTGTTCGCCAGGATGGTCTCGATCTCCTGACCTCGTGATCCACCCGCCTCAGCCTCCCAAAGTGCTGGGGTTACAGGCGTGAGCCACCACGCCCGGCAAGGTTGCTGAGGTTTAAACATACTAATGCCTCTAAAGCATCACGTAAATGGGCCAGGTGCAGTGGCTCATGCCTGTAATCTCAGTGCTTTGGGAGACTAAGGCAGGCGGCCCTCTTGAGGCAAGGAGTTCGAGACCAGCCTTGCCAACATGGTGAAACCCTGTCTCTATTACAAATACAAAAATTAGCCAGCCATGGTGGTGCACGCCTGTAATCCCAGCTACTTGGGAGGCTGAGGCGCACTTGAACTCGGGAGGCAGAGGTTGCAGTGGGCTGAGATCATGCCACTGCACTCCAGCCTGGGTGACAGTGAGACTCTGTCCCAAAAATAAATATAGGAATCATGTAAGTAGTTTCACTATTAACCTTTAAGCAAAAGAAAGGATATTTAAGGTACCTTACCTTTGGAGGTCACTATTTGTATACATTATAAAATTTCAAGTAGATGACTTAGATTCCCTAGACTCTCAATTTTTAACTTACATCATAAACTTGCTATGATACACTAAGAAATCACATTTTAATATCCAACGAGACATACAGAGATCACAAAATTCCCCAGACTGTAAGAAGCAGATTAATTTTACCTTCTATAGCATGTGAGAAACTACTAAATAAGGACAATTACTTAGGCATGAGTCACAAAGACTGAGAAAATGACATTGAGATTATGTTTCAAAATGGTCAAGAATAAAGAGTGATTTCAAAGAAATTATCACTCTGGACGAGTATGAAATGACTACTCTCTTACCATGAATCAAGAGTTCAGAATCCTTGTTTAGCTCATAAAGTCTAAAGGCTTCTTCTAACTCCAACTGAGATGATACGGTACACGGGTCTCCTAAAAAATACAAAGGTAAAGTAATGGTCACTTTAAAACCCCTAAATGTGATGATTACTAAACAAATTTCATAATGTAAATTTTGAGAAAAAATAAACTCATATTTATAAACATAAATATGTGACAAGGACAAATATTTATTTTTATTATTATTATTATTATTATTTGGAGATGGAGTTTTGCTCTTGTCGCCCAGGCTGGAGTGCAGTGGCATGATCCTGGCTCACTGCAACCTCTGCCTCCCGGGTTCAAGCCATTCTCCTGCCGCAGCTTCCCGAGTAGCTGGGATTACAGGCATGCACCACCATACCCAGCTAATTTTTATATTAGTAGAGACGGGGTTTCACCATGTTGTCCAGGCTGGTCTTGAACTCCTGACCTGAGGTGATCCGCCTGCCTTGGCTTCCCAAAGTACTGGGATTATAGGCGTGAAGCACCACGCCTGGCTTAAGGACAAATATTTAGATATTTATTTAGACAATTCAATTTTCTGAAGTAGGTAACATAACTTCCATTTCTATTTGTACAAAAATACTACATGAGGTTCACAGACACTAATTTATATAGATATAAAATGTTGTTCTTTGGGTTTTCTTTGGTGAGACAGGGTCTCACTCTGTCACTCAAGGCTGAATGCAGTGACAGGATCACGGTTCACTACAGCCTTGACCTCCTGGGCTCAAGCAATCTTCCCGCCTGGGCCTCCCAAAGTGCTGGGATTATGGGCATGAGCCACCACACCTGGCCATTTTGTTCTTAACACTGTATATATCCCAAATACAGCAAACAGAATCTATTCCTGACCACATTTTTTTTTTTGAGATGGAATTTGGCTCTTGTTGCCCATTCTGGAGTGCAGTGATGTGATCTTGGCTCACTGCAACCTCCGCCTGGGTTCAAGCAATTCTCCTGCCTCAGCCTCACGAATAGCTGGCACCAAAGACGTGCAGCACCATGCCTGGCTACTGACCACAGTTTAAATAGTTACTGCTATGTGTCTAATGGGTATGGCCAAGAGCAGGCTTTCTGTTACTTGTTTCTTTAAAAGAGGAAGTGAAAGTAGTTCAATTGCCACAATATGATTAGTTACAAGTCTCCATGTAATCATTTTATCAAATTTTTCCCTTCACATGACAGAGCCTCCTCAAAGGAGTCACAGAAATGAAAAGCTACAAAACTATGGAAGAACAGTCACACTTGAGCTGCTATGAAATGTAAATGAACAGTTTTAGTAACAGACACACAGAGAAGGGATGGAAGAAACAACTCTCTTACCCAACTAGCCAGACAACTGAGTCATCCCTGGCAATCAATGAGGTGGCACATCTGCCTGGACTATGGCATTCCTTAATGAAAAAGTCATTCAGGCCAGGTGTGGTGGCCTGTAATCCCAACAGTTTGGGAGGCCGAGGCAGGCGGGTCACTTAAGGTCAGGAGTTCGAGACCAGCCAAGGCAACATGGTGAAACCCCATCTCTACTAAAAATACAAAAATTAGCCAGGCACAGTGGTGTGTGCCTATAGTCCCAGCTACTCAGGAGGCTGAGGCAGAAGAATCGCTTGAACCCAGGAGGCGGAGGGTGTAGTGAGTCAAAATTGTGCTACTGCACTCCAGCCTGAGCAACAAGGCAAGACTGTCTCAAAAAAAAAAAAAAGAAGTCATTTAGAGCCTAGTCTGAACCTGAGCGAGTGAGAGTGAGTCCTTTACTCTGCCATTGATTTGCTAATTCCTGTAGTTACTATACACTAGATGCCACCAACCCTATCCAAACCACCAGCATACAGCTCAGTATGCTAATTGAGAAAGAAAAACGAAGTCGTTTTTCCTGGCTTCTCAAAGAAGAGTGCCTCTTCCTTTTTTTCCTCCCACTTGACCACTGCATCCCTACTTCCTTTTATCTTCCGAGCTCATCAGTTCCATTTCCATTTTTCCTTTCCTTCTATTTCCTAGCTCTTATCAGGCAAAGGAGTTTCTGAGTCTCCCTCTCAAAAACCTCTTTCAGGCCAGGCGCAGTGGTTCACACCTGTAATCCCAGCACTTGAGAGGCCAAGGTGGGTGGATCACGTGAGGAGTTCGAGACCAGCCTGGCCAACATGGTGAAACCCCGTCTCTACTAAAAATACAAAAATTAGCCGGGTGTGGTGGCACATGCCTGTTGTCCCAGCTACTTGGGAGGCTGAGGCAGGAGAATCACTTGAACCTGGGAGGCGGAGGTTGCAGTGAACCGAGATCACATCATTGCACTCCAGCCTGGGCAACAAGAGCGAGACTTTGTCTCAGGGGAAAAAAAAAAATCTCTTTCCCATTCAGATTGACACTCCATTCATTCAGTAGCCACAAATCTCAAGAGTAAAACTAGAGACAAAAACTGGAGGAAACAGGTGAGAAGATGAGAAAGGAAAAGTGGCAGGGTCTTTGTTTTTTCACTACATACTTCTCTTTAATATTTTAAAAATCATAAGTTTGTAATCTTTTACAATGAAACAACTTTTTTTCACATAGTGATCATATCCTTTTCTCCATGTTCTTATCTTACACACATTTCTCAAAATGCTGCTGCCAGGTTTTAGCCCCAACACTACACCAAAACTGTGGTTGCAAAGGTCATGAAACCAGCTGCTGAAACCTAGGATATCTTTTCAGTCCTTATTCTAGGTGATCTCTCTTGTAGCCCCTGACAAAGTTGCCCACTGAGTATTATAGAAATCCTGTGTCTAGGTTTGTAAAACACTATTCTCTAGGTTCACCAACTGTTCTTTTTAACTGTTTATTCTGGAAAATTTGAAACATAAAATGTTGTTTTTCCCTATATACTTACCCACTTATTCTCTACCATGGCAGCATTCTGACAAAATCTCTATAACTCTAGATAAAAATTCCTTAGTATAATCCAAATATTGTTATTAACCTACAAAAACTAACAAGTATCTTATTTGACCACAATGGAACAAAACTAGAAATCAGTAACAAGATGGACTTTGGGAACTACAAAAACACATGAAAGTTAACAATATGGTCCTTATTAACCAGTGGGTCAATACAAAATCAAGAAGAAAATTGAAAAATTTCTTAAAAAAATGAAAATAGAAACACAACATACTACCAAAACCAATGGGATACAGCAAAAGCAGTACTAAGAGTTGAGTTTATAGCAAGTAATAAGTGCCTATATCAAAAAAATAAGAAAGGTTCTAAATGAACAAACTAACGATGCATCTTAAAGAATAAGAAAAGCGAGAACGAACCAAACACAAAATTAGTAGAAGAAAAGAAATAATAAAGATCAGAACACAAATGAATGAAATTGAAACAAAACACACAAAAGATCAACAAAACATAAACCTGATTTTTTGAAAACATAAACAATATCAACAAATCTTTAACCGAACTAAAAATAAGAGAGACAAGACCCAAAGAAATAAAATCACAGATGAAAAAGGAGACAATACAACTGATACTGCAGAAATTCAAAGGATCATTAGAGGTCATGGTGAGCAACTGTATGCCAACGAATCAGAAAGCCTAGAAGAAATGGATAAACTCCTAGACACATACAACCTACCAAGTCTGAACCACGAAGAAATCCAAAACCTGACTAGATTGCTAACAAGTAGTGAGATCGAAGCCATAATAAAAAGTCTGTCAGCAAAGAAAAGCCCAGGACCCAAAGGCTTCAGTGCCATTTAAAGAAAAACTAATACCAGTCCTACTCAAACTATTCCAAAATATGGAGGAGGAGGGAATAGTTTCAAACTCATTCTAAGATCCAGTAATACCTGTCAGTATTACTAAAACCAGACAGATACGTCAAAAAAAAAAAAAAAAAAAAAAAAAAAAAAAAAAAAAAAAACTACAGGTCAGTATCTGATGAACATTGATGCAAAAATCCTCAACAAAACACTAGCAAACTGAATTTAACAACACATTAAAAAGATCACTCA